GTCTAGCTTCATCGTGCGGACTGCCAAACTGTGGAATTCCTTGCCTGAGCCCTTGTTCCCCGAGCACTACAATCTAGCGGTCTTCAAAGCAAGAGTGAACCGGTTTTTATTAGGTAAGCGCGCTCCATCGTAGACCATAATATTGCTTTCCATCAGGCGAATTATGGTCAAGCGCTTACCTATTACCGAATAAAAAAAAAAAAAAAAAAACGATAGTATATTTTGTTTCGAAAACTTGTTTAACGGCTTTTCCGGTCGAATTAGAACTGCTCTAGGGAAGTAACCACAGACCACAGTAAAATAACACTTCCGGTTGATGGTAGAGTCTGTGCGGAAAGAGAATGGGCGTGGCGAAAAACGGAACTAACATTAAGATTTTTATTTGGCAATCAAATCCAGCAATCTGTAAAACGTCAAAGTTTTGTATTGATACGGGTTTGTTTGTTGTTGTGATTTCTTAAGGTTTTTTGTATTTGATCATGTCTAAAAGGGGTAAAACCTTACAAATACGGTAGAAAAGCACTACAGCGCCCTCCAATCTCAATCCCATTCTCTTTCCGCACAGACCCTATTGTATTTCTGTCGGTGTGTAAAGTTCCAGGGCTCCACGAGGTAGGATTTTGGGTCAAGGAAGGCAACGGTGGCGGCGCGAGTGATATTTTTGGTATCACAAACGAATAGTATATTCGCCAGTATACCGAATATTCGGCGAGGCCCCTGACCGAATAGCCGAATATTAGGCAAAAGTATTCCGCTGGATTTTAGCGCCAAGAACTTGTACAGACGTGATTGTTTCGCGCTCCTTTGTTTTGTTCTAAAATGCGGCTAAATGACAAAACCATCTTTTGAGATATGGCCAAAAACGCGCGTAAACTTTAAATTACTGCTATTATGTAACCATTCATCACATGACTGAATGAATTAAAAACTGTTAACTTGTTTAATACAGAAAATGATTATATTATGTACCTGTTTTATGTACCAATGACTACTTAATAAATGATTATAAAAGAAATTAGAACCTTACCCTTCTAAATTTTGATTACCACATTAATTAAAATACATAGAATTTCCAATTCAGGAGATGATTATGTACCTGTGTTATGTACCAATGACTACTTAAATGATTATATAACAGAAATGAAAATATGAATATATACGTAATCAATCGATTTAAATTTTTCATTTTACCAATTATTTCTCTATGACAAAATATATTATTTAAGTATTCGGTATTCGGCCGAATCATATGTAGATATTCGGTATTCGGCCGAATATAATAAAAGCAGCGGAATAGGCCGAATACCGAATAGTAACCGAATATTCGTTGCAAGTCTAGTCTATAGGCTATGGTGACGGCTTACCATAAAGCGGGCCACACGACTGAATTGAAACTTCTTTAGCTCCATCTGTATGTATATATATATGTGTGTACACAATATACATGTATGTACATAAACACATTTCATTTACTAGCCATAAGAGAAAGAGACAAAGAAAATGTGCGCGCGCACTGCTTTCTCTTGCTTATATCCCCTACTCTACTCTTTTTCGCCTCGCCCAACCACAATTTTCGTAACGCGTTCGCCAGCTTACTCCCCAAGTCAAGCGTGTGAAGTTTCACATCAATAAACTTGTTCAGCTAAATTGTCCATGGTGTTGTGGCGGCGACATCTATATGCCCCACATATATACAACAGATGGAGGAAATCATTACTCACCATCCTCAAGAGATGGCGTTACCTGCACTGCGATCTTAATAGTATGGAAGCCTACATCGCGCAAATGAAATTCGGAGGCTAACTCTTCATATATACGATGCCCGACCAACATCAGTCGGGCCCCCGAGCTACCATCACCCAGCTCGAAAGAAGACCTTCCCTTTGGCCTTCTTACAGTGTCATCCTCATACGGGTGGCCAAATTTGTTCTTATAATAGACCCCTCCGTTCGATGCATTCGCGGTCATTAACACCTTATTTCATTATCATGCAGTTAACAGATTAATATATTACATAAGTCCAATTTTCTTTAGAACAACACTCTATCTGTAGGAAATGACCGTCTACAAAAAATAATGACCCCGGAACATTACTGTACTATTTTAGGTACTTACCCCAAGTTCAAAGTTGCGAAAAAAACGTGAGCATTGTTTACGAATGGTACGGCTTTATCGAACAAATATTTTTTTCAACTTTAATCGATTCTTTGGTATCGTGTTGTATACAATAAATAAAGCGTAAACATGTTAATTTTTTTTCTGCTAATTTATATACTTACTTAATATCGTTCGCTCGTAATCACGGTATGACAACGTGACAATGTTTATAAGTTTCTCAGTAATAATTCAAGATTTATCGGTCACTTATTTACGATATAAATAAAATGAGGAAGATTTACTTGCGCTCATAGAAATGGCGCTTGGGGCTTTTGAAAAAAAGTCAAAACCGAAATATAGTTATTTACATGCATAGTGTATAACTATTCGAATCGAACACAAGTGAATAATTTTAGAAATTTTGAAAAGATACTTTATATTATTCACTGCGAATGCACAGTGTGAAGAAGTTCTATTTTACAGAAACTAAATAAATAAAAATTATTGTCCTGTTTTGAGCTCTTTAATAGAACAGAAAATAAAGTCACGTATACATGCAATACCAAGCTTAGTATCTTTGCGATTGTGAACTGTTCCCAATTATTTTTAAACTTGGCGCAGTTAATTTCTCTACCCTACCTGATGTTATGTGGAGAAGATAATGAGCTGATGTGAAACAATCTTATCCAATCTATTACACTTGGAGCTTCGAAAACCCACTAACAGAACCAGTGCCGTCTTTCACCTATTGGAGGCATTGGGCATATTAGGATAATAGGCCCCCTATGACATCCGTTTGGTGATTTAACAGGAACTAGGGACTTTGTATTTGATCTGAGAGGGCCAGCTATCGATCGTGGGGCCTTGGGCACTTGCCCAAAGTGCCCACATGGAAAAACGGGTCTGAACAGAACTACAACATGCTATTTTACATTGGTCTTCTGTTATTTGAAGTTTTTTTCCTAAAACGGGCGGTCGCATTCGAGCGGTAACTCCTCTGTATACTCTCTCTAAAATTTACTTCATTCATAAATGTACAAAGGCGTACTTAATGCCGTAGCTATTCTCTATTAAGTTAAACCATAGGGTGTTGTGGAAACTACTTAGTGTCGTCACACACGGGCCACCGACCATAACCACAAAACGCCGCCATCGACATATTTCTTGTAGTTTTCATACATTTTATATGGACTCGCCACACACGGTACGCCGGTGGCCGCCACACGCTACAAATCGTCGTTGCTCGCTTCTTGTGGCCCGCTCCGGCTTAATGCGCCGATACAAAACGCCGCCATACGTCACTCGCGCGGTTCCCCACCCCTCTCTCCCTTACCTTAGTCGGCCGCTGTCGCGCGCTTCAGCCACTTTAGTAGGCGCTTCTAGCTTCTCGTGGCGGCGTTTGTGGCTGTGGCGTGTAGCCCGTGTGCGGCGACACTTAAAGTGAAATTTACAATGTAAAGTACCTAAAATTATTCGATAAGCTCCCGCTATACGTGTACCTAATTACAAAAAGATAAATGAACCAATCAAACAGCGGCGCGCATAACCTGCGTTTTAAAAATACTTAACTAATGAAAAAAAATCATAAACAAAAGAGTGATACATCTCGCGGCACGTAACTCTAGCGCTGAACAAAACGCGCCAGGGATATCTGCGCATGGGTACGACTGGAGAGCCAATCGGCGCAACGCACGCCCCCCCCGCGCACCTCGTTTCCCCCCAACACATCTTATTTTTACTTCTGCGCAATAACAGTCAGCTAGAGTTTCGTGCCGCGACTTATACCTACGTGTTTACAAATGGCGGCGTATAAAAATACAGGCGTAGTAGTAGTCGCACTATCGGCTTGGCCTACGGGGCACAGTGCGGTCCAATTACCAGGGGTCACGCAGTAGGTGCCTCGCTCGAGTATCTCGCGGTTATCTCGACATAAGGCCGCGATTGTGACGAGCTCATTCTCACGGGGAACGGCCAATGCTGCTGCGGAGATTTAGATTTACACGTTCAAGAAGAGAGTGTTGCGGTTTGCGAACGTGGAAGTTAGATAACTTTAGCAATGGCCGGTCATCGGATGGGTGACCGAAAAATTAGATCATCCGTGCGTCGGAAAGGACGTTTTAAGCCGTTGACCCCGGCTATATTTGCAGTTGTAAGCACACACTAATCCGCACTGAGCGCTCGTTTCGGACATTAGTCCGAATCTCTCTATTTCATCCAATAGGAATACTCATGATGACATATCCAAAGCCTCTCATTGGAGTCCCGTATAAGGTGTCGCTTTTGCTGCAGTCCGTGTATCAGCTGGCTTTTGTAACAAAATTAGGCAAAAAATTTAAAATTTGCTGACTTACGCTGTATCATGTATGCCGAGCGTGAGTCAGCCTTAAAGGATGAAGGATGTCAGTAGCGGCGCTAGACCACATGTGGACGTCGGCGACATCAAGTTCGTGAGGCCTATTTTACTTCGCAGTAAAAAACCGTAAAATTAAGTGAGCCAGATTATAAAACAACGTATGAGTAAACGAGTTTTATTGTTGATAATCAAATGATGACAAAAAATAATTACAAACATAGAAATTTAATTACAAAAATAGTGTTGCCAGACACGCAGAATCGTCTGCGATTCTGAATACCTGTAAAGTACTACTCGCTGCCATCACGCACGTGTTCGAAAATAATAAAAGTTATTATCATTTGTTTAGCTGTTTCCCCGAATTGTTCGGGGTCGGCTACCTAAGCCAGGCCAGTAGAAACAAAAATAAATAGGTAACTTGTAAAAAATGTTTGCGAGGCCCCCTCCCTCAGGCGCGAGGCCGTCGGCGGTGGCCGACGTCGCCGACGCCTAGCGCCGCCACTGAAGGATGTATGTCGAAGTGTTTAATCCTGAGTTCTGTTGTTCACAGGAGGATGCCTTACATCCGGAAGGTACCCTTTCAAGTGCATGCAGTTCGAGCTGCCACCAGACGTAGAGCCCGAGGAAGTCACCGTGGTGGAGCTCTGGTTCTACAAGGTGAGGACTGACTCTTTGCATAGCTGTAAATCATGTTGTCACAAAATATTTCAAGTTTGTACTGCTAGATTTGAAGAAAATATACAGTTCGGCCTAGGCGCCATAAACTTCGAATCAGTGCCTGCAAAGCATGATATTACTAGAAGAAATTCGATACGTCTATTAAGGTTCTCTTGTGAAGCTTTGCTTTTAAAGATGTCTACTTACTTCATTGTGATTTTTTATACTCTCTTTAGTACTACTAGTAAGTACAATACAATACAATACAAAAACTCTTTATTCTACACCACAAAAAAAAAAAACATTCAACATTAAGTACAAAACCATCAAGTACACGTGATGCAATGGACGGCCTTATCGCTTAAAGCGATCTCTTCCAAGCAACCTTACTTAGTAGCAAGTAGTCTTTTTTTTATGTTATAGGGGGCATACGAGGAGACGGCTCACCTGATGGTAAGTGATCACCGTCGCCCATGGACACTTGCAACACCAGGAGTATCACAAATGCGATACCGGCCTTTAAGGAAGGAGTACGCTCTTTTTTTGAAGGTTCTTGGGTCGTATTGGTCCGGAAACACTGCTGGCGACAACATATTCCACAGTTTTGTCGTACGTGGTAAAAAATTTCGACATAAACGCACGGTTGTGGATAGCCACGCATCAAGATGATGGGGATGAAATTTTTGTCGCGATGTACGATGGCGAAATGCAGCATGCATGCAGCATTCGGAATTAATCCGAACAATTCCTCAGAACACTCCCCGTGATAAATGCGATAGAAGATGCAGAGCGAAGCTACATCCCTACGCAAAGCCAAAGGATCAAGCTGATCGGAAAGGTCCTGGTCGTCGACTATTCGAGCCGCTCGGCGCTGGATGCGATCTAAAGGGAGAAGCTGGTACTGGGGTGCCCCCGACCAAAGATGAGAGCAGTACTCCATGTGAGGCCGAACCTGTGCCTTATAAAGCTGCAGTCGGTGGGCCGGTGTGAAGTACATTCTCGATCTATTGAGCAAGTAGTCTCCTAACAACTAGAACAAATTTTTCGTAATTTTCAGCAGACAATGCAAAATTGATTTAGTGATCCCTTAGGTTTCTAACGACACGTGTCTATCACCAAACTTCTGCCAGTTCTTCCATCAGTCTCTCAGCAAGTTGTATCTTATAAAACGTAATATTTATTTGCCTCCATTGCGACAAATAAGCCCCATATATACCTTCTATAAATAACCCCATATATGAGGAGCTCGATGGTGGTTAGCGCGTTCGGCTGCGATCGTTGAACTTAAGCAACTTTCGCAGTGGTCGGTCATTGGATGGGTGACCAAAAATCTTCTATCACGAGTTCCTCAGTGCTTCGGAAGGCACGTTAAGCTGTTGGTCTCGGCTGCATCTGCAGTCGTTAGCACCCGCCAATCCGCACTGGGCAGCGTGGTGGGTCATGGCCCAATCTCCCTATACCATCCATAGGGAAAGCCTGTGCCCCAGCAGTGGGGACATTAATAGGCTGATGATGATTATGATGATGATGATACCTTCTCTTCTTTTTTTATTTTCTAGATTCTTGAATATTCTTATCTATCTTTCAAGGAGCGCGACCCTCTGGACGAGTACAACCAGACGTTCGTGATCTCGGAGGCGGCCCACTGGGATAGCCAGCAGCAGTTCAAGAAGACCAAGCCCATCGCCATCAAAGAGACTAGCATCGGCGAGGGCTGGGTGAGGGTGGAGCTGGCGTGGGCGGTGCGCGTGTGGCTCGAGGGTCGGGAGACCATGCACACTTTGCATGTGGCCTGCAGGACCTGTCAGGTTAGTTTCTTCAGTAAAGGAAAGTGATATAAATGGCTAAAAACCCCACCTCAAAGGAGATTGCTCAGCTTCCATACATGTTTGGCCTAAAAACCAATAACCATGAAAAATTGTTTCCTACATTCGAAATTATATATAAATTACCGTAGAAACGAATATTATCGACGGCCACTCCTGAGAACTTCTATAAACCATATACACTGAATGATTTTGAGGTTATGTTTGCAAATAGGCACATAGGTATTAGAATAATAAAAACCAAATAACTTATATAGGAAAATAGGACAATCAAGCCAAGTACCTACCGATATTATGTATTAGATTCAGGTATATAGAGCATGTAAAATAACAGATATGTGCATGTTTTTAAAAACACGAACAGAAACTGTGTGATGATTGTGAATGAGCCACAGATTAGAGAGAATTTTTAAACTCTCGTTAATCAAAGAAAGCTAAGAGCTGTAGGTTATACAGCCATATCTTCAGCAGCTTCATTATTTTTATTTGTGCATACTTATAATGTGTTTATTTAGGTGTTTGGCAAAAAATGTACGGCAATAGACTTTATGATGTCGCCTACCATCTATATTAATTGTCTTAGCACATTTGCATGTAGTAAAAATGATAATAAAGTTGTGGATATTAATACCACCCGTGTAATAAAAAAAAATATATTTTATCAATCTTTACAAAATAGATTTGTTTTGATGTTATATAAACAACCTCGATCAGTCTTTGTGAATGTTACTACACCCATAGCCAATAAAAATGATTCGTATGTTTTCCAAACCGGTCAAAATAGAAGTCCTTTTTTAAAATTAATATATTATTTAAAGGTGGCCGTTAAAATCTAATGACTGTAAAATAAAGTTTAAATTACGCCAAGAATTACTGTATATGTCAATATTTTATTTGCATTTAGGCCAATTTGACCAATCTCCTTTGTCGTACAACATAAATTCTTATGCCTACGACCAGAATCAAGCGGACAGCATGCCATCTCCATTTTGTCGTACTTAAACCATAAATTCTTGTGCCTGATACCAAAATCAAGCGAACACCCATTGTTTAAAAGTGAAAACCTAAGAGTTATCCTTTTTTCCTTTAATTATATCGCCATTTGACGATCTCTGTGTGGAGTGGAGTGGTATGTGCACCGGTTTAAAAGAGTCACCTTTTCAGAAGTCCTGGGTTCTAATTCGAGCATTCTTGTACTTATTAACTTCATCATCATCATCAGCCTATTAATGTCCCCACTGTTGGGGCACAGGCCTTCCCTATGGATGGAATAGGGGGATTGGGCCATGACCCACCACGCGGGCCCAGTGCGGATTGGTGGGTGCTAACAACTGCAGATGCAGCCGGGACCAACGGCTCAACGTGTCTTCCGAAGCACGGAGGAAGCTCGAGAAAGTAAATTTTTGGTCACCCATCCAATGACCGACCACTGCGAAAGTTGCTTAACTTCAACGATCGCAGCCGAACGCGCTAACCACCCGCGCCATCGAGCTTCTCGATTACTTATTTACTTAATTTTCCGAAAAGAAATTAGTTACATCTAGCCCCCATTTAATGATGATGAAGATATATCCTTAATTTTTGAAATTGAGGGCAACCCATGTTAACCGTCGACCGCCGTTATCAATTATATTACGTACTTGAATAGTAGACACTTGATGTGTATAAGAAACTAAGTTCTGAAGTATCCACGATGATGTTAATAGTTCTGCGTATAACATCTGAATCTCAAATTTTCCTCTCCTCCACCAGTTGCGACAGGCGTCCATATTATTCCATAAAATAAATAAAATAAAATAAGCCTTTATTGCTGTTAAACTCTGAAACATTTTCTTAATCTAATTAACTGTATATATATTTGTTTTTGTTCTAAATTATCAGCGTTCGGGTCATTATTTTCTGACACAGCTTGTCTTTCGACATAAGCCTCCTCTAAAGATTTCCATTTTCCTCTATCTTTTGCAACTCTGATCCATTCTGAACCAGCCACCTTTTTATATCATCTTCCCATCTTTTCGTTTGCCCACCTTTGTTTCTTTTACCGTCCCTTGGATACCACTCTGTTATTATTCTGGTCCATTTCTCTAGCCTTTCCCTCAACATATGTCCATATTATTCCATAAGACCTGCAGAATAGCACCTTGATCATTAGTTTTCTATTGCCCCACCAGTTACGCCGGGCCCCCATATCGTTCCACAAGAAGCACCGTCCGTTCCTCGTGCTGTACACCAAGTACGCGGGCCGGAGACGACGAGGCCGCGCCGTGGACTGTGCTGCATCCACGAGCGAGTGCTGCCGGGAGCATCTGTTCGTCAGTTTTAAGGTATTATAGACAAACCTAATATCATGTTGTCGGATAGGTTACTTGCGGTTTCAGTTAGGGGCCGTTCAAGTATTACTTAAGCAGATTTATTACAATTATTTACCCCCTCCTCCCCCTCGTCAGCAAAAGTAAGCAAAGCTCTTACCCCTCCCCCCCATCCTTACGTAAACATTGGTACCTATATTCATTTTTCCTTTAATGTATTCTGTTTTTTTTTATTGATTCATGAGCTTCATGAGCAGCAGTACTTAAAAAGGCTTAATCGATGATGCTGACGTAATAACCATCTCTACCCCCCACCCCCCCATGTCATCAAAAATAAGCAAAGCAAAGACCCCCCTGCCCCCCTATAGTGCTTACGTAATACTTTAACAGCCCCTTATCCGGAGAAATGCCCTCTGCCAACGACATGGTCACCTACTTTAACTCTGAAGTTCTTAAAGTATTTGAAATGCACGCACCTATAAAAAAAGGTCAAATTAAGACGTCCTCCGGCGCCCTGGATTACACCTGGGGGCCATTCGCCTAACGGAAATGCTAATGCTTCGATTTTATTTTGTTGTTTCTGACCGCTGAAGGTTTTCAAATACCTCACCTTTTTTCTTTTGCATTGGTAACAATCAAGAAGCTTATATACAACACTGGAGATTGCAGTGCAAACAATACCTTGAAGTGAAAAAATATGGCCTTGAATGACGTCACATATGTTTGTTATCTCTTTCTAAGGGTGACCATGTTGGAATATACGTTTAGGATACATACTTACTGGTATTTAAACAATTTATAAATCAAAGCGTTGGAGTTGATAGGAACTTGGGAACACATTATGTATTTAATAGTAATAAAATTCACAAGTACAAAAATCGTTTTACTCATATTAGATGCGTCTTATATTATGCCATGTCAAAAACATTTATAAAAAAATTAACGAGAAAGAATATGCAAACCCTTTTTAAAATCGCCAGAAATGCCTTTTACTAAGAACGGACTAGAATCTCTAAGCTACATATTTTGGCTGATAAATAAAATTGACCTTTTAATGGTATTGTTACGTGTCGGGATGGGGTTCGAAATTATATGCCAGTTCACGATTGACAGTTCTTTATTCACCACACAGTTCACACAATTAACACACAATGTTGATTACAAAACACTCACTAAACACTGTATTTCACTATACAAGTCTCTAAACAATCTCACTTGAACACTTTTGTTGCACTTTGATCGCCTTTGGATTGGCTCCGAAATCGCTGTTGAAACTCAACTGTCTCTGCGCGGCGCCAATCGCCCTTATATACGCCGATCGATGCATTCTAGAAAGTAAATAAATAAATAAATATTTCCAACACTCACACCAATTAGCCTAGCCCCAAAGTAAGTACTATAAGGCTTGTGTTATGGGATACTAGGGTAACGGATAGAATACATAAACTGTACTTATATATATAAGTATATTTTTTTTTATAGAAATACATATTAAACATCCATGATTGGAGTACAAATGCTCGTATTCATCACACAAACATCTGTCCCCACCGGGATTTGAACCCGGGACCTCTCGAGTCGGCGACACCATGAAACCCGGCGTACAAACCACTCGACCACGGAGGTCATCGAAAGTCGAAGTTCTAGAAAGTACCTGTTAAATTGAGAATTACCTAGCACCCGCGAGTACGAAATACCTACTTATACCTACGCAAGTAACACGCATAACTTGTAAAGAAGTGCAGATATCGTTGCACTTTCTCCTTTACGTCGCACTGCATAAGGCTCATTTTAGAATGAGCCGCCTTACTCGACTTCTATTGCGACCCGCGGTGCTCTGGCTAATTCGATCTCTAGCACATTCGCGGTTCCGTTTCGAGAGCGTTTGTGACAGTATAATGGACAACCAAGAATTTCTTTTAATGATATATTTCGGGAAGCTGAAACATAAACAAAGGTATAAGACCGCTGCTAGATAGCTGTTATTAAATAGGTTTTCTACATCTAATCAACATGATCTACTACAGTATTTATTATAAACTTATTTTCATATTTTGAACTTTATAATTACTATTTACAATAATACTTATACTTATTAATATTTTAACTTTCTCAAAATATCTCAAGTGTAGTGATAATGGTTACCCTACAAAACCAAAATTTATATTATTTTAATTTAATAAACTGCTGAATATGGTACCAAATGTAGTGAATAAAACAAGAATAACGTTAATTTATAGCCTCAGGACACTATGATTTATAAATACTAACGTTTTATTATGATTACAACATAAAAATATAGGAATATGTTTATTTCGGTATTGGCGTAATGTAATAGACTTACCTGTGAAATTTAGTGCTGGAATTTGGTTCCCAAACACTTCTGCAATCTCACACAACACAATACATATTATAAATAGCAAATTGAACAATTTAACACTTTTTAATAATAATCTAAACATTCGAAGCGGTAGATTTTTTTTGACAGATCGGAGATATTCTTCAGTTGATTTTTTAATTAGTGTTGCTATTATACCAAAATGGTAGCAACCAGCAAACAGGGAAATAAAGGGCGTATTTATTATTTAGTTTTAAATATTGATTTCAAAGTAGTTGGTTAGAATTTGTCACACTCATCTTATAATAGTAATACAAGAGTAGGACTTCTGGAGATTGTAAAACTGATTGATATCTTGCATAGTTCTGTTTATTTTCACTTTCTGATTGGAATTTCTTGTATTTAACATGGTAATTTCAGATAGTGTGTGAGAGAGATAAAAAACATATCATGGGGTTAATGAACTCATCTTCATACAGAAGTTCTACATGCAATCTCCAGTGTTGTATATAAGCTTCTTGGTAACAATATTAAAAAAAAATATTGTTACCAGTGCAAGAGAAAAAAAAGAGCGCGAGGCATTTGAAAACCTCAGGCGGCTAGAAATAACAATATGAAATCGTAAGCGTTAGTGTTTACCAAAATATTCCCGTTAGGCAAATTGCCCCCTGGAGTACGTATGGCCATGCGAAAGCGTGACAAAGCTTTTCGCATTTATAAAAGATGCCTTAAGGTACTGATTTGCATTAGAATGCTTTAGGATTGCCAGAAATCGTTGCAATCAGATGCCATTACATAATGGCGTTTAGCTTTTTTTACCGAGATTAAGATTCCAAGATTAAGATTAAGTGATTAAAATCAAGACCATGCATTTAGCGAAAATTCTTTTCCACTTATCAACACTATATTATTGTTCCCAGGACCTAGGCTGGGATGACTGGATCATCCGCCCGGCGGGCTACCACGCGTACTTCTGCAAGGGCACCTGCTCACCCATCTCCGCCGTCACCACCGACAATAGCTATCACCACAATATCATTAGAGTAAGTGTTTACTATACTAATGCCTTTTTTGTGTCTGGGAAATATCCTTACGTAACCCGTCCTCCAGGGATCATAAAGAAATGATCTGGTCTCGATGAAATGAGCAGAACCTTAGCAGTAAAAACCAGACAATACTCCTGCGCCGTTCACCCGAACTACATAGTCTGCTATGGAATAAAAAAAAAGGGATTTTTAGTCTTTATTACAAGAAATACTACCGAGCGACCGACCTACTTTTTTTCTTCTTCTACAGAAATACTTCTACTCGGTGTCCAATGAGAAGCGGGTTGAGTTTAATCCATGCTGTGCGCCAACAGGAATTTTATTATCATGGCTGTTAGTTTCTCGAATACTGATAAATAAATAAATTAAATAAAGCCAGGAGGAAAAAACATTTTTGTTCCTAAACTACTTAAGTACTTACTGATGCCGTGCATGTAGTCGCAGCATGTTGTCAAAAACCTGGACTTTGTTTCAGAGATTGATGGAATCGAGTTTTGTTTTTGCTAAAGAATTAAATAAACACTATGATGATTTGGTAATAAGAGCTGAAAACATCTAGCAAAAAAAACTATTTTTATTTTTAACTAAAACCTGTCGAGTATTTTCTATTTTTTTTTATCTTGTAGCTACGTCGTAGATTTACAAACATAATATTATTAAGCTTTAGAAATCAAAGTTACCCACTTTGAATGTTTTGACTTGACTAAGTACTCAATTAACTCAGTGATTGCAATTCATAATAAACACATTGATAAATAACAATATCTATTTTTTTCTTCTACAGAAATACTTCTACTCGGTGTCCAATGAGAAGCGGGTTGAGTTCAATCCATGCTGTGCACCAACCACGTTCAGTTCGCTACAACTGTTGTACGTGGATTCAAACAACACGGTCACGCAGAAGACTTTACCAAATATGGTAGTAGAGACTTGTGGTTGTATGTGATGATAATCTTGAACTGTGAACTAGAAGTGTTATAAATGATGAAAAACTTGTTAAAGCCCAGTGTATTTAATAGAAATCAGGTTGCTTCAAACATCATTGCTGTATTTTTCATAACAAAAACGTCTTTGTGAAAGCTAGTTTATCAACCTTTTGCTATCTGAAAAAATATTTAATCACAGCAACACCTTGGTCACTAGTTCAATCCAGGGCGTTTAGATTAGGGCGTTGGTGCGCGTCCTACAAGATGGGATGATGAACTTTTAAAAAGTGTCCGACTTAATTGAACATTAAGTGATGTGATTTGTGATTATAGTGATATTGACATTGATCCAGATAGAGTGAAGCCTCTGAAGAGTTCTAATCGAATGTATAGAGTTGAAAAGGATTGAACGAAGAAATTCCTATAAAAGAGTATTTTACATGTATGTGTATATGAACTATAGTTAAAGGTAGAGTATAAAGTACTCTAAAATACTCTTTATAACATTAATTTCATACCCAAATGTAATATTACAGAATGTTAACTGATACATGATAATTGGGAACAAATAAAAAATTCAAAATGCATATATGTGTTTTGATAAAACATTTGGTAAAAACCACCAATAATCGTTCAAACAAAAATACTAACAAATATTTGCAAAGTAAAAACAATGAATGCTGTGCCATAATGAAAAATAGTCAACTTGTTGTTGTAGATATGGCAACCCTTTTTTGTATTTAAGATGCTCTTGAATTAACAGCACATAAGTAAAGAAGGCAGAGAGACAAAGCTTAATAAAATTGCTTGTGTGTGTGTGTGTATTGGTGACTGCCAGTACCCACTCACGCACGCGCACTGAATGAAGAAATGCCTCTCTGAGTCTTCTTTACGCATGTGCTTTCAGTGTATGCACTGAATAGCTTAAATAATGCAATAACAGACTTCATTGCTTTATTTAAACAGAGAAATAGTCAATATAATCGTGATCTAGTATATATAGTAATTTACTGGTAGTATTCTGTGTTAAATGGAAAACGGTCTGCGTTCAATCCATGTTAAGCGTCAACTGTTGTACGTGAATTCCAACGACACGGTCACGCAGAAGACTACCAAATGTGGTAGTAGAGATTTTATTATTTAAAATGGCATAATATACCTATTATTTAATGTTCTTGAACAATATAAATCGGCTATATTTATTAATACCTAACACATTACACTTGGATATTATAAGTAAATACACAATTATTTCTCAAGAGATTTTTTCAAAGACTATTTTCTCCAAAAAATTAGTAGCGAGGTTTGAAGTAGCAAGTTAGCTTAAATTTTAATAACTGCATTTAATTAATTTCTTTTTGTATATTTTGTAGATACCTAGTAAATAATATTTTAATTTCAAATAACTACTTATTATTAATTATGAGAAATTTTTATATGCATATATGAAGGAGAAAAAGTGAATCGCATTTATTATTTTAATATAAATACAACTTAGTTAATTATTTAAAATACCTGTTATACTGAGCATTATAACAGCTACCATAATGTGTACATATTCGCTCAGATCAGTGAGAAAATTAAAGAATCAATAATTTTCTCCTTTATTTAAATGCATATGGAAATAATTTATGTAATAACTGTTTACGTTAATTGAATGTAATTCCTAAGTATGATAAATTATCAACTACATAAGGTTTTGTTTTAGACTGTGGCAACACTTTTAGTTGTTTTCTAACTAAATAGCGTCGTCCTGATTGGCAACGATCGTACGATGACACAAGCGTTCTCATCGTGCGATGATTTTCGAAATAAAGTTTTCTTCAGATGTGTCCTAATACAGCTCGTAAGCCGTCGCATGAGCATCGGTACATTATTGTCATCGCATGATAGGATCGTATCGTGTCATCGTATGATCGTTGCCAATTACGACGACGCATAATATGTCCTCCAATAAATAACAAAAAATGTGGAAGAAAATAAAGCATTTTTGCTTTATTTTCTTCCACATTTTGCTACAGAAATAATATTAGTTGATAAGACAAAATTGTTCCTGTACTTAAGATTATTATTAAAGTGAATTAGTTAACTGCCACAATGCCGTTACTTACAGCGCCCTATCCGATTGACGTTACAATCCAAAGACTTGTGTTCAGACGAGTACCCCAACCCCAATCACGAAATATGATAGATTCTTAATCGTGTCGCCTTCGACAAATTTTGTATGGAAGACGCCAGTTTGTTTTTACGTCCGGTAGAGGCGCTGCTTAGTTTTCATAGAAACTTTAACGACGCGCTACGATTACGGAGCTGTCCAAGATCGTGCTTGGGGAATAGTAGGCCTAAGAAAATTGCATATCCATTGATGCTTTTCAGAACAAGTATCTTAGTGACGTACACAGATCGTATACAGATCTGGGAATGCTTCGGGAATAGTAGGCCTATTCGCTAACTGCTTTTGACAGTTGGAAGTGATAACCACTGAGCTAATTAGTGTGATCCACTACTGCTTCATTATAACGCCACTGAGATACTTGTTCTGAAAAGCATCGATGGACAACATGCAATTTTCTCTTTAGTTACACATTGTTAATGTCAAAAAAGTTAGCGAATAAGCCGGCCGATCATATCGACGGGGCGGATCTGGCTCTAAGGCCGTTAAGCCTTTACATCTGTGTAATTGACTAAAACTTTTAAAATAATATTTGAAACGGCAGCTAGTAATTTTGGAAAGTATGTAAGTAATATAATGAAATTACATATTAACGCAATAATTTTGGGATTCTCCCTATGATGTTTTTCCGAGATTTTTCGATTCAATGTGGTTTATGAAAAAAACCTTCATAAATTCTAATATATTTTTCGCAGTGCCATTCTGTAAAACCAAACTCACATTTCACCTCAGAATCGACAATGGTGTCGATTCTAACATAATTCTCTAAACCTAAACTTAAATTTGACAGCAGTATATCCTTGTCGTTCTCTATACAGAATGAAAAGGAGAGACTGATGTTAAATTTAGTTTTAAGTTTAGAGAATCACGCCAGAATTGGCATCAATGTCATTTAAAATTAGTAATTATTTCAAATCACACTTGCGAATTTTGCGGTGAAAAGTATGTTTGGTTCCTACGGAATAGCATTACTGGGTCAAGTTTGTCTTAACTTGCTGAAACATAAATAGTAACCATATTAAATAGTTGACACTTTGTAAATATAGTTAAGTTATTATCGAATAATAATGTATGGGCACTGCTTATTTCCATACTTTTAACGGATGTATGTACTTAACCTTTGATAAACTGACTTGATCGAATTATCATTGTGGTGTCCAAGTATTACTAATAGATTGTAAGTGATGTAAAATTTTGATTAAAAGTAATTGAAATTTAGTTTTGACCTTTTCATTTCAAGAGACACATATTATACCGCCTGTTCTTCTTTTTGTCTTTTTTGATGAATAATTTTTTTGCATTAAATCGACCATTTGGGTCGTTAACGGAATCGATTTACGATCTCAATCGTACGGTATTGAATCGGCCTTAATTCGATTCTGGAATATCGTATCGAAATTACATAACAATACTAAAACGGCTACTACAATACGCGTGCAAAATGATTTATTTAACGCACTTCAAACAAGGTAACCTACATTAGCAGTTTTTTTTAAGAGTCATCACCAGCCTAATAATATCCCCACTGCTGGGGCACGGGCTTTCCCTATGGATGTAATTGAGAGATTGGGCCAGCCAGGACCAACGGCTTAACGTGCAGCACGGGGAGCTTGAGATAACAAGTTTTTGGTCACCCATCCAATGACCGACCATTGCGAAAGTTGCTTAACTTTCACGTTCACTGGTCGAATGCGCTAAGCCCTTGCGCCATCTAACTCCTCTGAGCTAGTTATCTTACTTTCATTTTTCTCGCCTTCGAAGCTTATACAATCAAGCCTCAAAAAACCTCTTCTTTAAAGCGTGTAAGAGCTTTATAGGTATATTAGATCTTTTTCAATAAAACAACTTGTATAAACGTCACAACACATCATTTACTATCAAAGAAGCAACAGATCACAATAAAATGCACAACTAACGTCAAAAAATATACCGCGTCATAAATATATTGTATAGTAGATGTCACTTAACACTAAAGGTTGACGCACACTATGCGTGATAGATATATCATTTATTTATCAGTCCAAAAACGGATCGGTACGGCCTCATCACACCCCGCTACAAATTAATTATTGTATTTATTGCAGCAATCCGGGAAATTGACCAAATGAGAGATGATATGTTTACTGAACCGAAATCATAGTAATTTCAACATATTTACCATTTGTATATGTTACGGCTAATAGCCGAAGTGCGGCTACACCTAGTTTTAGCCGGCTACAACTAGGTGCAGCCCGCCACATGCGGTAAACTTAGGTGTATCCTACTTATCTTCGGTTATAACTAGGTTTAGCCTTCATTATAGCGGCTAGAACTAGGCACAGCCGCACACTGGTGGTTAAACTTAGGTGCCTCCTATTTATTATCGGCTAGAACTAGGTTTTCAGTTCAGTTGTTTTGAGATTCTAATTTTGCGTTTCCTGATTGATTCGATTACATGGAATAAATAAAAGACACCTAAGTTACACCTAAGTTTAACCGCATGTGGCGGTCTGCTCCTAGTTTTAGCCGGCTAAGACTAGGTGTAGCCGTACTTCGGCTATTAGCCGTAACATATATACGATATATGTTTTTACTATTGATGATATTCATATCAAATAAGTATTATTGTGTTAAAAGTACTGCATTTCAAAATTCAAGTCTTTACAATTTTTGTCGTGTCGTATGATATGACATTGGTAATAGATATCTTAAGTGATGTTATCACATATTTACGTTAGGTTTGTGATGTCACGGTAATGTAAACAAGCGTTATAAACCAAAACCGTTAAAAGATTACATAGACACAAAATATTGTTATCTTCAAATCATTGGTAAACAATATTATGCTCGAATTATAAAGGCTCCAAGCCTTTCTCAAGTCTTAAAATTTCATAAAAATAATATCTAAGTGAGGCTGTGATGAACAGTTTTTTGCTTAATGTGTGCGTCAACGTTAACAGGCATGCAAGCTTACCGATAATTCTCACTTGACACTTAATTAGGTGAAGACTAAACTATTGTTATTTTAACATAGACTTAACTATTATAAATAAACGGGTATTAACCGTTTAGTAACGAGCCTCAAAATTATTTGTGCAGCAGGCAAATACCCTATTATAAATTATAGTAGAGAAAACTTTTTAAATACTGCAAACGATAGGAACTACAAATTTCAATTAAATTTGATGCTGCAATATTCCTATTGCATTCGCAAAAATAATAACAGCACAAACTTTAATCAAAGTTACAAGTTATATAATAGGCCTCTCTGAATGCCTCCGTTAGATACAACGTAAACTAATGTTTAGTCAATTTTAACTACGAAGTATAGAAAAATAAAAATAGCATTATAATATTGTTTATATATTTTAGAAGGGTTTAAATTACTTTTTAATGCTTTTAGTACGGTTTTCGCACATTTTTTGTAGGACGCAATAGAAAATTAACCACATAAAGTGCTTAAGAAAAATTGACATACAAATTTTGCCTAAACGAGGTTTGAAACCGTGTCTACCTTTTTTGCAGTAAGAACGTATGAATCTCACAAAAATAACGCAAAATGCCGGTTCTACAAAAACGTATGTCATGTACGATTACCTTTTTTTTTCTTTTGTTAAGATGGCCTATAACATTTTCATTTGATTTCATTTTTTACACTTTAGATAAATAGTTTAGTCTTCACCCACAGTAGCGATTCACACAATAATTTAGCTGACCAGAAATCAACACTCCTGTCTTTTTACATAGAACAATTAAAACTAAAAAGTACAGTGTACAAAATACATCACAGAAGTACAGGAAGCGAGTCCGAATTTGAAGCAGAAAAAGTATTATTTACTCATCACAACGTCAATAATACGTATTTTTTGTTAAACTATAAATATAATTTACCTCATAAAATAGGGATGACCTTTACGTTCAAGATATCCCAAAAATATCCGAAAAATATACGAATTTGGCATGACAGTGTGGCAATGTCATCGAATAATTACAAACGATTAAATACAAATTTTCAAAAGCGTATACAACAATAAGATCTTTAGAAGATCAATAATAAAATACACATCGCTACTAACTACAGCTTCACAGAAAAACATGAACTCTGTACATTCAGGACGGACATAGTCACAAGATATGTATCAATAACAACCTTTAGTCGAAACTTCTTAAAGTTACACGCCATATATATGGCACTTTCGGATATTCTCACAAACAATGGCACAATATTCTGCTACAAAATCATTAGTTGGACTGAACTAGCTCCATTTGTGACCTTAAATTAAGAGCTTAGGATTTATACTTAACATCTAAAATAATAACTTTTGGAATGATTTGTATTCTCACAAGCCTTGTATAATTTAGTTAAATTTACGGGGCGCAATGACTAGGGACTTGGACATGCGATAGCACGGATACATTTTCGGATACCGAATGATTTCGGCTGTATATTTCACAACAAATCATGATCATTCAATATTTTTATTTTGTATTGAAAAGTTATTGTAATATTAGTCAATATTTATACAATAACATTTCAATAACACCCCATAAATAACAAATCATCAAAAATCTAAGGCAATTAAATCAAGCAACGTATGCTATTGCTCGGTTACATAACGCCGCTTGGAGTATGAAACGTTAAATTTATTATAATTTCTATTTAGAATTTTTCCTACTTTAATAACAATTATTATGGGTATTTAAAGTATAATAAATTATAAAGCAAAACTGGTACGTTACTTATTCCCAGTAAACCAAACCAAACCGTCGCGTTGTGCAGCCAGCCATATTTTCAAATCACTATGGAGTTTGAAAGTTAGACGCGATAAAAAACGCGATATAATGTAAATTGTAGTGCTAATGGCTACGGGGGCAGGAACATACAAAGTTATATTATCTCAATCGATAAAGAATCTTAAGTAGGACAAAGCTCCAAATGAGTTTGTAACACTATCGGTGGCTTTCAATTAATTATTTTAAACTTTCATGGCCACTAACATTATATAGTAATATAAGTTATTTACGGGATTCTGATATTGTAAGTGTGTCGAGAACAGTTTCCATTGAATAGTGAGAATGTGAACAGTGGTACGAGTATCGAACGCAATAAAAGACTTCGTCGGAGGGTAGACCAATGTCTGCCAATAACAGCCTACCCGCAATTACTTCAGTTAATCCGGGATGATGGCGCTTGCTACAGTGCCGAAATATCGGAATATTGCTTAAAACAAGGTACATGGTAACAATCCCGTAAATAACTTATATTACTATAACGATTTAAATTCAAATACAAATACTAAACATAATTTCAGTCAATACAAAGCACATTGGTGGCACTGTACTATGAAATTCATTTGGCCGCTAAACACGACAGATATGGGTTTTCATACAATCTTTGCCGGACCCTGCTCGCATGTATGTGGCCAGCAATTTTGCTTCATCTCCAAGAAGATTGTCAAAATAATGCTCACATTTGCAAACATGTTTGAGAAAAGTTTATTTTTATATATAAATAAGAATTACCGTATCATACTCATGGAAGCGGCATAAAATACATCAATTTGTGACACACAACTACGAAAGCACCATTCTCATCATACATTCGATAAATAATTGCTACAAAATCAAAATCAAAACATAGAAAAAGTAAACATTTTACAGAATACTGCATTAAAATAATTAGGTTAGTATAAAATGGGTTGGCTTCGATTATGCAACGATTTACATACAAAACATCAAACAATTTCAGAGTCAGTTCTTAAAATGAAATTGGAACACATTTATTGTCTATTATTTTTATACAACAAAATTATGCTTTATAAACATAGATATACAGAATAGACTGAACTCGAGACAAAAACTAAAGCATAGAAAGAGTTTAAGACTACGCTTGGATTAGTTGCTCCATGTTTTATCTCTGTTTATTGAAGAACAAATGGCATTTGAGTGAAATGAACGAAACACGGCGTAACTAGTCCAAGCTTATTCCTTATTTAATAATAAGTGGGATATAGTTCAACTCATATTTTCACATACAGACCAAAAATGGCACAAATGTATATTGCCATCTTCGATCAACAATTATATAGATAATGGGCTCTATACAAAATCAAAGCTAAAAACTGTCCGCGTATGTTTAAACTTATGCAGATACATTCGATCCTTAATGAACAAAGATAAGTGTTTTAAAACAGTTTAAGTTAAACCTAATAACAACTATCTCATAAAGGAATAAGGTTACAAATTATAAAATGTTATTTTCGCACATACGACCTTTTATCATATAAAACGAACTCTTGTTCTTTTTATAAATTATATCTGATACTTGGAAAAAACGAAAATGTGAAATCAACCTTATGACCCACAAAATAAAATATTTTTACCAGTCATTGGTCAACTAGTTACTTCGTTTTGTATTAACCAAACTAATTTAAAATAACATCTCACGCCTCAAGTGTGGCTATATTTACCGAGGTGGATTTTACGCGCTGACCCGTTATCTATACAATTGTTGATTGAAGTTTGCTTAGAACAGTGTGCCTACCATTACACAAATGTCACACTGGATACCTTGGTTATCTTTACGATACCAAACGTTAAGAAGGGCCATACACGTTACAACTGTTGCGAGCCGTCGTACAGACACTGGTCGCTAGGACCGTCGTACAGACACTGGTCGCTAGGACCGTCGTACAGACACTGGTCGCAAGGACCGTCGTACAGACACTGGTCGCCAGGACCGTCGTACAGACTCCAGTCGCAAGGACCGTCGTACAGACACTGGTCGCTAAGACCGTCGTACAGACTCCAGTCGCTAGGACCATCGTACAGACACTGGTCGCTAGGACCGTCGTACAGACACTGGTCGCTAGGACCGTCGTACAGACACTGGTCGCAAGGACCGTCGTACAGACACTGGTCGCCAGGACCGTCGTACAGACTCCAGTCGCAAGGACCGTCGTACAGACACTGGTCGCTAAGACCGTCGTACAGACTCCAGTCGCTAGGACCATCGTACAGACACTGGTCGCTAGGACCGTCGTACAGACACTGGTCGCTAGGACCGTCGTACAGACACTGGTCGCAAGGACCGTCGTACAGACACTGGTCGCCAGGACCGTCGTACAGACTCCAGTCGCAAGGACCGTCGTACAGACACTGGTCGCTAAGACCGTCGTACAGACTCCAGTCGCTAGGACCATCGTACAGACACTGGTCGCTAAGACCGTCGTACAGACAACGGTAGTACGGACTCCGGTCGTATGCGACAAGGTCGATCGTGAATGGATTGGTCGTAGAGCGGACTGAACGACCAAGGTCATGTCGCCGGTCCGTTGAAATACTTATCGAACCGTATCGACTGTTTCGACGTGAATGGCCCCTTTAATTCATTATCTATGGGCGGGTACGCTCAAAATGTCAAATCATTAATTGTATGCTTTAGTTCTTGTTGTGAGAGACTGGACGACGTTCGAGTGAGAGAGACAGCAATAGCTTCATCTCTCTCACATTTATCTGCTCAGCTTCATTTAACAGTTGAACTGGGGATGTTCAGTTCATATTCCATGTCTTTGTTTATAAATAATAATCTTAATAAATATCGGTTTACTGCAAGAAGTCAGTCGCAGTGAAAAATATGTGCCTGCGCAATTCTTTGACTCTATATCAATCATTGAGTTTAGTTTTTGGACTTCCTACACTAAAGCGATGATTTGTGATTTAATTTGTTATAATTATGAAAACTTTGGACTACATTCATTAGAACAATGCAGATTTTCTTTTGCCTTTTATTGGCAAACACAATAAACATTAAAATAGTTCGTATTTTCAAGGCCTCGTTCAAATTTCGATCCTAAAATAAACTGCTTAGGCATGTTTTAATTATAGTCATTGTAACTTATTGATATTTGAAAGTGTTTATGCAAACTACACGCAATCCATATCTTTGGTTTGCATTAAAAATTAGTTAATTCATTAAACTCCAAAGAAAGTAATTAATGAGAAATGGTATTATCCGCGATAAAACCAATTTTAATACTGATGAAAATACAATCATGTTTAATATTACAAACAGATTGCTTGTTTGTGCCTTGGCTAAATATTAACTAATACAATGAATTTACGCCTCATTTAAAAAACCTCGCTACATGGTCATATGTTTTTTTTGTCACAAATGTCATTTGGATTGATTATATTTCACTTTTTAATTACTCGTCATATTAGGATCTATTTCATAGAATATAGATAGATTAAATAAACATGATTACCTTATCTTGAGAATGAGTAACAATTTTATAATTGTAAATCACATCACCCTTACATTGCCTGCTTGAACCTGATTATTGAACTATGTTACAATTAGGGTCAGCTCTCATTTTTTTTTACTTCTCAAATAACTTACATGGTTCCTTAAACATTTCAAAAGTCAAATCATTTATTTAAAAAAAAATTGGTTGGATATAATTTGCATAATCACATCCACTCTTTCCCCAGTAGTACAAAGTTACAGAAGAAAAGAGACAGACTGTCCTAATAATTGTCTTAGAATATCTCAAAAGTACTAAATCCATCTAAACATAGACAAAAGACGATTTCACGTTTATGTCATTTATAATTATGGATTTTGTCTATGGTTTGTAACGGCTGTTCGATGTAAGAAGTTATCCAGAGCGGCTGGGATACGCCATTTACCTGCACACAGATATATTAGGTTGAGAATACTGGACTGTAGCGTTTATTACGAGGAAACACTTTCTATGTGAATACGGGCCTCTTCCCTAATCCACATATCTCTTATCTATTAGACAAGTCCGTCCGTCCGTCTGTGGTGCTGTTTCAGCGGCCAAACCGTAAGAGATAGATAAAGAGAATATTTAAGTTATAAGAATAGTCTGATAAGACTACAAACCGGATTTGAGTAACGTAGCACTTCCGGTTTTCGAGAAATCACGAATTTCAAACGAAACCACACAAAATCTCCGAAGTTCTCAACTAATTAAATACATTTTTTTTTAATCAGGTTTTGGTGAACATTTGGTTCACTGGTTTGCTAGTTTAGTATTCATCTGACACGACATAATAACACATTCAAAGGATATATTGTTTTAAACTTTTATGGTCATTAACAATAATATTAATAGCTATTTAACATGATTGTTACCATGTTCCTTGTTTTTTATGACTCTATGGGGGTATGGGGTATCGAGCGCAGTAAAAGACGACATCAGAGGGTAGACCGATATGTCTGCCAATGATATCTACCCGCAATTTTCTTCAGTTACTCCGTGATCATGGCGCTTGCAACAGTGCCGAAATATCGGAGACTCATAAAAAAGGCACATGGTAACAATCCCGTTAATAGCTATAACATTTAGAGGAAATCAAATCTCTTAAAGCTAGAAACGTTTTGAGTTTTATGGAAGCTGTCAGGCTAAAAGAGATACTTCAACTCGGTGGCGAAGTTACTGTAGATGTTTCAGGTGGCAGTGACTACAGTTCCAGTGAGACTGCATAGCCCCAAAAATTAATAATTATAATAACATTAAGAGTTTTGAAAATATGTATTACTTATTATAGCATCTTGATGCGTGGTTATAGAAACCGTACATTTTTGGCGACTTTTTTATACCATGTATGAAAAACTGAGTATATGTATATTGGCAGGAGCTGTGTTTTCGGACATAAAAACACTTAGAAAAAAAAAAGATTTAAAACAATGTGTAGTTTCAGATACTACGACGGAAGTGATAGTTTTAAAATCATTAATAAAGTCCTTTCTCGGCTGGGATTCGAACCCGGGCCGGTCGTGTAGTACGTGAGCTTTCTGTTACTGAACCACCGACATTTGTTGATAAGGTATGATTCTTTTAATAACAATTGAGAATGCAATGCGACACGCTTAAGATGAACGAAAACATTTATAAAAGTTCCACTTTAAACAGTTTTTGCAGCAATTTCGCTAAATCTCAATTTAACAAAAACTAGAATCTAACCGTAGCAAAATCTGAAAGTGACATTGGCGTTTCGAAAATTTTCTATGGGTTAAAGTTTGTTTGAATTGAAACTGATAGTTACCGAATTTGCTGGAAGTGCACAGAACACAGAAAGGGGTTTGAAGGGCCTTGGGGGCGGGGCAGGCGCGCTACAGTTATGTATAATGATTCGAATAAGAATAGGAAAGCCTCTCTATCTGTCAAATGTCGCTTGAAAAGTACGGTTTGCAAAAAAAAAACTTGCAACTTTTTTTTAGCACTCCGCTAATTCAAGAATAAAAACCAAACATTTGTAAACAAACAATAACAAATATTGATAATTAATATCGGTTGATGTTTTTACACTTATTGAGCTTTGGCCATGAATTGTTTGAATGAATTAAGTTGCGTGCACAAACTCGATTTCAAACTTTCCTTTACGTAAAAGATGCATGTTCGTATGTGACCTAGTAATAATGCATTCATAACTACTCCGGCGGTAATGCAGAGATGAGCGGAATAGAAGATCTAGATTCTCATTAATGATTTTTCGCACAGTCTTAATAAATTAATATTATTAAAAATCGGTGGTTTTTTTTCTGAATCGTAAAAAATCTGATGCTTTTTCTCACTTAATCTTAGTAAATAAGTTTTATTAAATAAAAACTTTTTTTTGCTCACTCTACCTATTTGGTTTGAATTGACAGCTATGACATCTTAATATGGCGCCCAGTCGGTCCTATTCTTAGTTGGATCGCATTATAAGATCGCAGAAAACTTGGTTCCGATTGCGTCGTTGTTCCCGGGTGTGAGCGCTGCGCTGATTAGTCCGGCTATTTGATGTCGCGTCATTTGATTGGTTATTATTTATTAGATGGAAGTGTAGGGGAGGGGGGCGAGCTGGCGATATACCGATATATTCACTCTTCTAACCTCTTTCTGTGTTCCGCGTGCAAGTTGGCATAAGAGTGTGTGTCCCAGTGTTGTAGTTACCTGTCAGTTCAAGGGTCCGCGTGCTTGGTCAGCGTGGCAGTCTCGCTGTCGGAGGGGGGCGCGGGGGCTCTGGGTGAGGGGGGCGGCGAGGGGGGCGGCGAGGGGGGCGGCGGGGAGGGGGCGCGGCGCGGGGCGGGGGGCGCGGGCCGCGTGGCCACCGTCAGGGCTCCAGAGTTCACGTCCTCTATCGCTTTACGGAGCTGTTGGGAAACAATGAAACAATAACAAGCATGTTAAATCCTTTATGACGACCGAGGAATGTACGAAACAATATGGAAATTAAAAAATTGCACTCTAACTATTTACACATAAAGTCCATTTTTGTTTGTCATTCTACCTTCGTAAGGGGGAAAAATACTTCTAGCGCAAAAACGACGAAAGTGGAATCTGTCCCTCTCTTGCGACTGTTTGGGCACACTGCTAGAACGAGACAGATTCCACCAATTCAGCTATGCTCTTGGAAAGATTTTGAGGGTCGCGTAAGCATTCCAGTTAGTATAAAAGTTGCTTGATGACGACCTCCGTGGCCGAATGCTTTGTACGCCGGGTTTCATGGTGTCGCCTACTCGAGAGGTCCCGGGTTTCAATCCCGGTGGGGGCAGGTGTTTCTGTTATGTATACAAGCATTTGTACTCCAGTTATGGATGTTTAATATATATATTTGTTTCTTAGGTTTTCACGCACATCACTCATTAAATAAAACTAGTTTATACGGGTTAATGCACGAAACTTTATTTATTTATTGACGTTTCGCAGCCTTTTCAGGTCTGCATCGTCAGAATAATGATTTTTTATTTAAAATTTTAAATTACCGTACCACATTAACCCGTAAAAACTAGTTTTGTTTAATATATAGTTCTATATTAATATACTTATATACAGGGTGGTTCAACTAGTGACGTCAACAATTTTTTTTAGATTCCATGTATGTTCCGCGATTTTTCTTAGTTTTCGAGTTATATTTTTTTTATGTTTGCCAGCGAGGTTTCAAAAATTCTTATCTTTTTTCGTAATAGGTATTTTGCAGTCTTTTTTTGTGACATAATTGTCTTGAATGTTGTTTTAATAAAAAAATTAACTCAGCTTCCTGCAATTACTTAAAGTTACTTAAAAAGACTTGAAAGTTGGAACTTTAGTTTTTAGTAGAATTTACTCAAACATTCAACTTCAATTTGGAAGTACAAAAAGGAGTTTCCGTAGGTTCTCGCTAAAATTAAAAATTCCACATGCTTCTAAACTACAAAAAATCATAAAAAGAATTGTGCTTAATCAGCCTATTTTTGTTGTAATTGGCTTTTGAAGGCGGATAGGCTAAAAATCATTGAAACATGATTAATGCATTAAAAAATATTTTATCTACTTTTTCTCATTGTTATGGTAAATTTAACTTGAAAAAGTAATTTCAAATTAAATTTAATTGAAATTCCTGTAAAATAACTTTAGCATGTGTAATTTTACAATAATTTCGGTTTTACCACTAAGATTTATCCACAGCGATAGCCCTCATTATTAAAATTAAAAATATTAATATATTTTAATCACTTATTTTCTAAATGTTTTATTATAAAGCATTTTGCCCTATCGCCATACCATTTGTCTTTAACACTCGTTCAGGTTGACTGGTAGAGAATGCCTATGGCATTAAGTCCGCCGTTTCCATATGTATGGCAATGAAGTTTAAATAAATAAATGTACAATAGTAGAATATAATAATTACTTACCTCTTTCAGAGCCACGACACCTATCAGTCGTCCTATGGCAGTCACGTAAGCTCTGCTCACACCGAGAGTCGAAAACAAAGAGTGCACCTACAACATTATAGTAATAAGTTAATTAAAAAATAACAAAAAAAAACCAAACTTAATTTTTAAATCATTTTTAAAAATCCGAAAAAAATCAGAGAAACGCAGCTGTCTCGCGAAGTTTCATTGAATTATTCAATTTCACCTTATATACAGGGCGTCCTACGTCGGAGGGAAAGTATATAAAATATTGAAGATAGGATATTTTACTGAAAGGAGACATCGTTTTATTTTTAATAATAACTCGAACTGCATTCACAGAATTTTTAAAAATCATATGCTACAACTGGGAATCAAACTCGTGAAATTTCGAAAAAATTAACACAACATATTTTAGGATAACCATCGAAAGGGTAAGTCATAAGGATTATTTTTTGCTAAATAACATAGCATTTTAAATGAAAGTAAAGTAATTTAATTTAACACTTTATTTAAAATTATTTAACACAAAGTAATATAAAATGGGATACGCCTCAAAGTAAGTAAAAATGTTGAGTTCATCATCACTGACGTTCATCATCCACTGCTGTATATACATTTATATATATATATATATATATATATATATATATATATGATAAAAATATTTCGTCATACATTTGTGTACTGTAATGGTTTAGTTTGGATTTTTATTAACTGACCATGTCCTAACTTCAGGTTTGTTTTCATATTGTGTTTAGGCACTGTTAGGTCTATTTCATTAAAAATGTTTAACATAAGCTACTAATTTTGTAAAATATATGACTGTTTGTTGCCAAAAAACAAAAAAAAGTTTCCTCGACAAGAAGCTCGATGGCGCGGGTGCTTAGCGCGTTCGGCTGCGATCGTTGAAGTTAAGCAACTTTCGCAGTGGTCGGTCATTGGATGGGTGACCGAAAATCTTCTACCTCGAGTTCCTCCGTGCTTCGGAAGGCTCGTTAAGTAGTTGGACCCGGCTGCATCTGCAGTCGTTAGCACCCGCCAATCCACACTGGGCCCGCGTGGTGGGTCATGGCCTAATCTCCCTATTCCATCCATAGGGAAGGCCTGTGCCCCAGCAGTGGGGACATTAATAGGCTGATGATGTAACATGATAAACATACATTATTGACTGAGTGACATTAGACAACTCTATAGGAAGACAGAAAACGATGGGTTATCAAATAAGTCATTCATTACTAGACATGCAAACGCATATAATGGAATAATTTCAGCATTAATGCATGTTTTAATTGTTTTTCCATTAATGGGTTGATGACGATGAAGCATATCTTTCCCACACTCTCCATCACTCTCCTCTTTATAGAATGTTGTCAACCTATAATGCTATTCGAAATGATTTCGACATATTTAAAGGTTCTAAAACCTCAACCAGAAAATGTTTAAATTCAATATTCTCTGATTAGGTTTTATTTGTTTTTAGTTTTAACTTTCATCAAATTTTTTTAGTTTAACGGCTTAACGTGCCTTCCGAAGCACGGAGAGAGTTTAACCTATATGTGCTATATATATCCTTTAGTATATATCCTTAGTAGTTAGGTAGTTTTAGAAATGCATGTTGTGCTTGCGTCTAATAGGTTGCAAAGTAGTGGATGTTTTTTTTGTATGCATATATTTATATGGATATTCTTTGTAACCAGTTTTGAAAGCGAAATAAAAAAAAATATCCTGACTGACCTTCAGTAACGATGTGCGTTCTACTAGCTGGAATGGCGCGGGGTCTATGTGGCAAGTGTAATGGCTGTCGTCTTCCATATCCATCTCGTCGGGATGCTGTGGGTAAATTGGATTGGGTTAGGCTCAGATTAAAACAAAAAATCGGTCGGTTTGGTCTCTAGTGTGCCACAAAGGAACAAACATACATATATAGGCTGTTAAACACTATACCCTGTCTGCGCGTCGCGCTTCGAGCTCTTGCATTGCGCAGTCGGGTAAAAAGGGAAGATACGGCATTCGCGGCTCAAAAGTGATCCGCTTAAATTGTGGTCCACGACCATAATTCGCTTTAGTCACAATTTGACATTCAAACACGCTGCATGGACACTCAATATAACAATATTGCGTATATTCTGTGTTATGAAGATATAACAATGCCTTAGATGATTTTATAAAGAACACAAATAGTTCAAAATCAAATGCCCCGGCAACACTTTTCATTCGTAAAACTGTGAAAACATTTTTTTCTCAAAAATCACGGTTTGTCGTGAATATTATTTAAGTAATCGCCATTTTGTAAGCAAGAAAAGGACAACAATACGCTGCGTTGAAGCGTATAGTTCTGTCTCGCTCGCTCGATTGATGTTTATATACAGACGTGTGCGTGGCGAGAGTTACTTATGTAGTTGAGTCGGATTATATTTTATTTGATGCTAGTATGAGCGTACCGTATCTACCCTTTTTGTTTTAATCTGAGAGGTTAGGGCTATTTTATCTTAGCATGACCTTTACATGTATAGATCGCGCCAAACTTCTAGTCCGCTCTGAAGTTGTTTCGGTGTAAAGCCCTAAACACAACCTTCGTCCCTTTAAATACCTGTCTTTTGTTACTACAACGCGAATTGTGCAGTGTTCAGAGCGGACTAGAAGATTGGCGCGATTTATAAATGAGGAGATAGAAATCTTCTATTAGATAATTATCCAATGACTGACAAATATACGTATTCATATCATTGGGATGTTACAGACAATAGGGTATTTGACAGATTTAAAAATAAAGTGCCAATTTTTGGCATCTGTGTTTAGATTGAATATTGGCAGGGGTTTTTACTGCTTTTACAAAAAAAAAATATTCATAATTTTACTAAAAACCCTCGAAAAAGATAATAGTTTCCTTATCTATTGTCACGTGACCCAAAACGCTAGGGATTGGCGGAGCCTAAAATGACGACACACGCAAGTAAACTTCCGGTTAAAGTGACATTACATTGTATCGTAACAGTCGTGTGACGTCACACACTAGTAAGACGCCATATTGTTCAGAGAAACGTTTTCGCGGCAACTTGAAAATGGAGTTTTTAATTTGGTTATTATTACTGAAATACACAACAGAATGATGAATATCCACTTTTGCGGACTCCATAAACATTAGTCAATAACGTGAGATGGTTGCCTAAAACTTGTCAAATACCTTATTTAGATGCATAAGGCCTATTTTCCCTTAGCATGCTTATTGTATAATACACGAGGAGAGTGTACTGTTACCGAATACATACAGTAATATTTACGTTATATAATTAAAATGAGTTTAATACGCTTTTTGTTGCGATAAAAAGCGTTATTTCTATGCTCTAAAATAAAATAAAATGACGTCACACGCTAGTAAGCTTCGGGCCAAAGTTTCATTACATTGTATTGTTTAACGTTTTGATGATAGTCGTGTCACGTGCTAGTGAAACGCCCTAAAGTCCAGAGCCACGTTTTTGCTGCAACTTGATCATTGAATTTTGAATTTAGTTTTTTTTTACTAAAATGAACAACAGAACGTTGAATATCCGCTTTTAATGGACTCCATAAGCATTAGCAAAACACGTGAGATTGTTTTCTAAAACTTGTCAATACCCTATTGCATGGATTTTAATATTATTAGTTAGTAGATTTGCGAACCGATGGCGTAGCGTTTCGACACGTACTATTCGTAAGTGGAATTTATTACCCGTGCAAGTGTTCCCTCCTTCCTATAATCTGGGATCCTTTAAGAGAGGCTTGAAGAAGCATTTTTGCAGGCCGGCAAGGTGAGGATGATTGGTGTGGCAGTTTATAACTGCTGTACCAGCTATCTTCGCGTTTGGACTTTATTACCACTTAACATCAGGTGGAGTCATTTGCCTACCTTTATATATAAAAAAAAATGGGTGCGTGTACTTATGTAGGCGCGTGAGAAGTTATCCTTCTTTGGCATCGTTTAAAATTAGTTTTTAATTGCATGCAAATAATTAATTACAATAAATAAATAAAAAGTCTGGAAAAGGACACAGTCAATAAAGTTCAGTTTTAATTTGAAAAAATAAATAAATAATCAAAATATTCAATTAAAATCGCTACTGAATATAATTTATTAGAACATATGTGATTTGCACTTGTATGAAACTCAAACACGTATTCCGAATATACAAACTAGAAACATGTGGATATATATTATAAATATGAATACCTATAACTGTTACTTTATTACAAAAAATAAAGATGTGGTTTTTGGTTCTACTACACCAATGGTCAAAAGATGGCGCTGTAGTCTCATGAATCGCGCTTTGGTTCCGTTGTTCCAGATTAATAAATACTTTTGATATTATAAATATGAATACCTATAACTGTTACTTTATTACAAAAAATAAAGATGTGGTTTTTGGTTCTACTACACCAATGGTCAAGAGATGGCGCTGTAGTCTCCTGAATCGCGCTTTGGTTCCGTTGTTCCAGATTAATAAATACTTTTGATAGGCCTTCACAATGCAGTCGTTAGCACCCACTAAATAGAGATTCTATTTCTATTTTGTTGGTAGATTTTCTTAATGTGCGGTAAACATAAAAGTAACGCATGAAGTTGGTTAAAATTTTGTGTTACAGTGATGCGCGCGCATCTTAAAATTTCACTCTCATCATTTTTTCATAACGCGCCTAAAGAAGTATAACTTCAAAAATACATTCGCAGTGCTTGTAACAGCCTAGACTGAATAAATGATTTTGAATTTTATTATTTTTTACTATGACAAACAGTGGATATAGAGTATAAAATACAGCAATACCAACCATGTCTCTCTTTCTGGCGATCTGCAGCATTCTATCAAAGTCGATCTCTTTCGACATCTCGAGGGTCTCCCACGCCTTCTGGTCCTCAGGCGACATATCGCAAACTCGCTCGCGAGGCTGCAAGAAACAAAGTCAATAAAATTAATTGAAAATTAAAAATCGTGACCAAAACCTGTCCAAAAGGTATATTGGACGATCCACGGAGCTCCGTAAGGTGATCGCGCTGTGAAAAACAATATAAGGCTTTATTTAAACATTGAAAGTCACCTTTAATGCATACTGTGAAAGGTCTAAATTAAAACGCCTTCTCCAAGAGTTATGACAGTTCCGAAATTTGAGCGCAAGTGGTGTATCTATCTAGGTAGGTATTTAATATCGTTACATTTTACTGTCAAAGTCACCCGAGGTGAAATTTTTCTAGTATTTTTTTTGTATAAAACTTACAAATCTAGCAATTTATTGCTTAAAATGACAATACAAGTTATTACTTAACAAAGTTAAATTATTTAATTCCATATTATTTATGCTTGAACTGCTACATAGTCCAGTCAAATTACGGAAAAAAAGGGCTAAAAAAACATGAGCGAGCACAGTTTGGGGATTTTGAGGATCGATAGGGGGGTGCATCCTGAGCTTAAGTTTCAATTTGAGGGGCTGTACTGAGGTCAGCTCAAGGTCATTTCGATGCAAACGCGTTTAATTCGATATCTCGAGAAATATCAGTGTTAGCCAAAAAATTATAGAGACCTTTTTTCTTCTAAATAAAATTTATTAACTTTTTTATTTAAAACTTTTTTTTGTAACATCAATATTTTTTAAGTTATTACTCCCGCAAGGCAAAAATTTCATTTTTTTCCCTATTTTTCGTCGTTTTCTCCCCAAACATTCAATTTTATTGAATTTTACCGATCATCAACGTGTATATCTTTTAATTCTTCACAATTTTGTTCTTAAACTTTTTTTCTGTAACTTCAATACCTTCGGAGTTATATATTATTTTACCGAGCGAAATCCACGCCACTGTCGCAACGTGTATCCACAGATACATTGTTGCATGTATTAGTGCGGGTAAGGAACATCTGTCCTCGATTTTTATACCTGGGGTAACCCTCGTCCTACGAAATCTATTTTTTTTTTTTGTGTGAAACAGTTTTAATTGTTAATATACTTGTTACCCAAACAAACCCATAAATTTACCCAAATTAAATACCCAATTTTTAAATAGTTTAATCGATTTACCCTTTTATATTGCGACAGTGGCGTGGATTTCGCTCGGTAAAATAATATATAACTCCGAAGGTATTGAAGTTACAGAAAAAAGTTTAAGAACAAAATTGTGCATAATTAAAAGATATACACGTTGATGATCGGTAAAATTCAATAAAATTGAATGTTTGGGGAGAAAACGACGAAAAATAGGGAAAAAAATGAAATTTTTGCCTTGCGGGAGTAATAACTTAAAAAATATTGATGTTACAAAAAAAAGTTTTAAATAAAAAAGTTAATAAATTTTATTTAGAAGAAAAAAGGTTTCTATAATTTTTTGGCTAACACTGATATTTCTCGAGATATCGAATTAAACGCGTTTGCATCGAAATGACCTTGAGTTGACCTCAGTACAGCCCCTCAAATTGGAACTTAAGCTCAGGATGCACCCCCCTAACGATCCTCAAAATCCCGAAACTGTGTTCGCTCATGTTTATTTGATTCCGTAATTTGACTGGACTAACAGTATTGGTCTAAATATTGTATAATGAAATAAGTTCTAGTAAACAACATAGAATATTTTATTACAAGAATAACACATCACACCTGGCACGCTTACTCTCTTAGTAAGTTTAAATCAAGCCTGAAACTTCTACATCGATCTGTACCTACTAAAATCATAATTTTGTCATAGGGTTTTGAAGTATTAGAAGCTTTCTTTTGTATGTTAATAATTCTATAGATTGGTAAAAACAAAAGACTTTTATAACAGGGTATTTGACAAGTTTTAGGAAACGATTTGACGTTATTGACTAATGTTTATGGAGTCCGTAAAAAGTGGATATTCATCATTCTGTTGTGTATTTCAGTAAAAATAACCAAATCAAAAACTCCATTTTCAAGTTGCCGCGAAAACGTTTCTCTGGACAATATGGCGTCTTACTAGTGTGTGACGTCACACGACTGTTATTAAAACGTCAAACGATACAATGTCACTTTAACCTTAAGTTTACTTGCAAGTGACGTCATTTTAGGCTCCGCCAATGCAAAGCGTTTTGGGTCATGTGACAATAGATAAGAAAACTATTATCTTTTTCTTGGGTTTTTAGTAAAATTATGATATTTTTTTTGTAAAAATTGTGTAAATCCAGGCCAATAATTCATTCTAAACACAGATGCTCACAATTGGCACTTTATTTATAATACTGTCAAATACCCTATTATACTAGCTGACCCAGCGAACTTCGTACCGCCATAAAAATAAGGGTTGGTGGTAGAGGGGTGAAAATTTAGGGTTGTATGTATTTTTGTATGATGTATCATAAAAGATAAAAACAAAAAAAATTGTCGAAAAAATTAAAAACAAATAAGGGTGTACCACCCTTAACATTTAGGGGAATGAAAAATAGATGTTCTACGATTCCCCGACCTACTGAATATGCATATACAATTACACGAAAATCGGTCGAGTCGTTACGGAGTAGTTCAATTACGCACACCGTGACACGAGAATTTTATATAATATTAGAGATATTTCTTCCTATTCATTTAAATCTATCTTGTGGTAACCTTATGGTGGTGGCAGCGCTAAATAATGTAACTCGATACTATCATGAAAAAATATGAATGGAGTTTTTTATGGCGCGATTACGCTTGGTCGTTAGCCCGAATAAGAGTGCCAATGGAATTCGGGCAAACGACTGAACTGAACTGAGTCGAGTACGCCCGTATTCGGGACGTTTTAATTTTAGTAACTGACGTTTGTCTTGCAGTCCGTATTCCAGTATAAATATTGCTTCGGGTGTCCGAATTCGAGTAATGTCTTTCGTGTACCCGAATGCGGGCTAACTGGCAAGTGTAATTCAGCCATTATGTTGGTTGTGCTTAAATAAATTGTGTAAAGTAACTCACCAACTGAACTTTCTTGTAGATAGAGGGTGTGCGGGGGAGGGGCTCCCCCAGCCCCCCCTCGACGTCCTGCAGCAGCGACGATCGCTTGAAGATAGCTTCGAACGCTGCGCGAATCCTAAGTACAATATTTCACCGTTAATTACCAGGAAAATAATACCAAATATTTTTTTCAAACAAGCTTGCATTGGTGACTAGTGTCGGATAATCAGATGCATATTTATCTAAAGTTATTTTTTGGCTACAAATTATGGAAGCGGTCTTTTTTTATTAACGAAATTCCGGGATTGCATAGCTACGTAACTAATCCGATGTATATTCACTTAAAATGTAATTTCCCTTTCGAGTACGTGTGTTTGTAAGGTGTAAGATAAATAGTGGTATGGTTAATAACAAAACGGTTATTTATATTTTATAATTAAAGGCATCTCAGTCAGTATTTTTATGCTATACACACAGGACAACTGTCATTTGGTCAATCTAGTTTATTAGATCTCACTTAAATTTGAATTTCCAGGAACTGCGGGAATTTTTCTATACAAGAATGATCAAAAATTTTCATAATAGCAAACATCTCAAGTTTAGGTAAATATGCATCCAATCTCATCTGAATTGATGACACAGGAACTAGTCATCGCTACGTTCATCCATATGGACCATTAATATTTTTCTAACAATAGGCTATTTGACAGAATGAAAAATAAAGTACCAATCGATGGCATCTGTATTCAATATTAGCAGCGATTTTACTATTCCAAGAAAATAAATAATAAAGTTTTACCAACAAAAAAACTAACCTATTATTATTTCTTCAATATCCGCAATCCAGGTAAGTGCTACCTGAGCACATGATAAGACCTATAATGGCGGACATCACCCGGTGAGCCGTTACTGTGAACGAGTTTATCTCATTCATGGTCCTTCGAGCCGGATATAAGCCAACATAATTATAACATATATAAATGATCATTACCTGGTTTCGGCCCCAGTAACGGTGGTGTAGACGGATGGTTGGGGAGACGAGGGCGACAGGGGCGCGGATGTGGGACTGCGACTTAAAGTGAACGAGTTGGTCTTCTTCAGAATCGACTTCGGACGGAACAACTGGCCTGGCGCTGGAAGAAAAAGTATTTGAATTTAGGATTTTATTAACTTCACTTGTCACTTTTAGAAATTAAGTACTTACATAAGTATCTACAGTACTTAAGTACTAACAGAATATAAGTATCAAAATACATTTTGGATTATGTTGTCCTTATATGAACGTTACATAAATAGTTTGCCGGCAGAAGTGAAAACTTGAATATTAACGTTGTGCATTTTTGATATTTTGTAATGGTTAGGGAATAATTTTGCACGAATTGTTTTAATTATCAGTATAAAAGTACTATCATGTATGTGGTAGAATAAAATACTTATTTATTTCGCTATCGTACACAAACATGTCAATTTGTATCTCTCAGAAAATCAACTTACATGAATCACTTAAGCGCACCTAGCGACATCTATTGTAAAAAATGCATTTTCTTCGCAATAAAGCTGCCACGTGGACGCCCTAGATAGAGACTTATTATTATAATACGGTTAAATAAAATATTACTGTTTCGTCCAATATATTGAAAGTCAACAACCTTTCCAATTTTATTGTGTGTCATGATGCGATCAGCCCACGTGTTTAACCTGATGCGAGTTTAACATTTTTTACCCTTACAAAAAAAGTGTACAACGCCGCTAAAGAAGTTTTCACTTCAAAAAAATCTAAGCAGAAAGTTAAATCAAATCTTCTTTTATAAAAGAAAATGTTTATGTATTTTAAAAACTTTTTTTTTTGCTTTTTCATACCTGGCAACAGTCCAGCGTGGTGATTGTTGGTGAGCGAAGATCCGCGCGTGAGATTCGTCGGAGGCTGCAGCATATCCGGTGCTGGTGTTACCTGGAAATTAACGTAGGCATTGGTGTGGATTCTGGCATAATTCTCTGAACCTAAACTTTAATTTGACAACAGTGTATCCTTATCATTCTCTATACAGAATGAAAAGGAGAGACTGATGTTAAAGTTAGTTTTAAGTTTGGATAATCTTGCCATAATTGACACTATTATTTGATATTGAAATTTATTTTAACCCTATTTTTAAGCGTTAAACTGGCAGATTTATTTTAAGTTTTTTTTTGTACTTTCTGTTTTAATTTAATTCAAATTAATTAATTTCGACTAAGAAGAATCATATCATTACATTTATTATTTAATTAAGTAAATACAACACCTACAATGCGAAGAGATGGCCGACCTAGCAGCCTAAGAAATCTATACATATTATAATAAAATGGTACGAAAGTCAATACTGTACATTGAATATTTTTTTAAAAGAATACTTGGGGTGTGATCTACAATCGATACCAAAGCCAAAAATATAGTTTTTAGAATTTTTGTCTGTTTGTCTGTATGTATGCCCGGGATAAACTCAAAAAGTATTGCATTGATTTACTTCAAAGGACACCCGGCATTTTGTGCCAAAGTTGTATACTTTTTTTATTTTTTTATCTGTGTTTCATAATTGGGTAACGTAGTCTGGCAATATTTGTCATCAGCAGCTTGCTGTCAATGTCAAATACATAGGTTTGTCATCAAAAGGGTTTCTATATCAAAAAATATTAATCATTAAATAACTTCTTTCCACGATTCACTAAAAATAAGGCAAAAGTAGTTTTATGTAGCAAATAATTTTGGCTTTATTTTGAGACCAAATTCAACTGTATACAAGTTTAGCATTTTTCCTATGAAAAGTGCCGGGTCTCCTTTGGCACGAATATTATTAAGAAGTCGGGTCAACATATAGGCTACATATTATCACGCTATCACCCACGGGGAACGAGCAGTGAACAGGGGTCAAAAAGTATGTGCAAATAACTAACTCCACGCGTACAAAGTCGCGGGCGGCCGCTAGTTTATTTATTAATGTCAAATTTCAGGATGGGTTACCTCGAACCGGGAAGGTCTGCGCACTCTGCTGCGTCGGGCTTCTTCGTCTCTTCTGCGTAACTCTGCTTCACGGTGCCACAGTGCTGCCACCTGGTGATCATTGATATGTTATAGTTATTAAAGACATCCAGATATTAATCTTTAAACTAGCAAACCAGTGAACCAAATGTTCACCAACACCTGATTTAAAAAAAATGTATTTAATTAATTGACAATTAAACTCAAAACTATATACCTATGCTCGTCGTAAGCGGAGGAAAAGAGAATACCTACCTAAATCAGCGAGAAAATTCAATTTCGAGTAAAATTCAAAATCGATTAAAAACAACGCCCGATTGAGAACTCAAATCGATATGGGAAAAATTATTCAAAATTCAACAACTGTTAAACTCCATTCAGACATCCACACGCACCAACAGAGATTCACTGCCTTATTACCTTTTTTATTTTTTTTTATAAGTCTCAAGTCGAATATTTTAGTCGAATAAAAAAAGCAACTATTCCCTCAATGCTACCAACCCAATCAATGAAGTTTGACAGCTACGCCGACGTAAGCGGTTCGCTATCATAGACAAAACAGCTGTCCTACGTGTGTCAGTTATTTAAGTGTCAGTGTCACGCCCTGTTTAAAAATAAACACTACAGAACTTCGGAGATTTTGTGTGGTTTCGTTTGAAATTCGTGATTTCTCGAAAACCGGAAGTGCTACGTTACTCAAATCCGGTTTGTAGTCTTATCAGACTATTCTTAACTTATAACTTAAACATTCTCTTTATCTATCTCTTACGGTTTGGCCGCTGAAACAGCACCACAGACAGACGGACGGACGGACTTGTCTAATAGATAAGAGATATTAAGAGGAGCTCGATGGCGCAGGTGGTTAGCTTGTCCGGCAATCATTGAGTTAAGCAACTTCCGCAGTGGTCGGTCTTTGGATGGGTGACCAAAAATCTTCAATATCGAGTTCCTCCGTGCTTCGGAAGGCACGTTAAACGTTATCCGCACTGGGCCCGCGTCTGTGGCTGGGTGGGTCATGGCCTAATCTCCCTATTCTATTCATAGGGAAGGCCTGTGCCCCAGCAGTGGAGACATTAATAGGCTGATGATGATAGTTATTTAAGACATCCAGTTATTAATCTACATTAATATTAAAACGATAAAAGATTTGGTATATTTCCTCACGAAATAACTTGTTTCTACGTAATACTTAAAAACTACTGGGCCGATAACAAAAATTCTTTCACCGTTAGAATGCTTCATTATACCTGAATAATACAGTTTTTAAAAAAGTGAACTATATTGGTATGTCACTGAGTGACATAGGCTTTGCGCGGGTGACCAATATTTTATCGAATTAAAACAAATTTCACCCATGCAAAGTAAGGGCGGATCACTAGTCTTTATATAAACGAGTGAAGAAAAAGCATTCGCAAGCCTTTTAATGGTGGAATGACAGATTTTTCATTATAAAACTTAACACGGCGAAAGATAAGTGCAGAAAGCAAATATGAATATAAATCCGATTTTTCATCATTTTTATGCTTTACAGAATAATAAATATTGTCACAAATGCTCTCGAAACGGAACCGCGAATGTGCCAGAGATCGAATTTGCCAGAGCACCGCGGGTCGCGATAGAGGTCGAGTAATACGGCTCATTCTAAAATGAGCCTTATGCAGTGCGACGTAAGGGAGAAAGTGCAACGACATCTGCACTTGTTTACAGGTTATGCGTGGTACCTGCGTAGGTATAAGTAGGTATTTCGTACTCGCGGGTGCTAGTTAATTCTCAATTTAACAGGTACTTTCGAGAATGCGTCGATCGGCGTATATAAGCGCGATTGGCACCGCGCAGAGACACTTGAGTTTCAACAGCTATTTCGGAGCGAATCCAAAGGCGATCTAAGTGCAACAAAAGTGTTCAAGTGAGATTGTTTAGAGACTTGTATAGTGAAATACGGTGTTTAGTGAGTGTTTTGTAATTAACATTGTGTGTTAATTGTGTGAACTGTGTGGTGAATAAAGAACTGTCAAGCGTGAACTGGCATATAATTTCGAACCCCATCCCGACACGTAACAATATCTATTAATTTATACTAATTTTGCATAAACACTAAGTGTCGCCGCACACAGGCCACACGCCACAGCCACAAACGCTGCCACGAGAAGCTAGAAGCGGCTACTAAAGTGGCTGAAGCGCGCGACAGCGGCCGACTAAGGTAAGGGAGAGAGCGGTGGGGAATCGCGCGAGTGACGTGTGGCGGAGTTTTGTATCGGCGCATTAAGTGGCCGGTGCGGGCCACAAGAAGCGAGCAACGACGATTTGTAGCGTGTGGCGGCCACCGGCGTACCGTGTGTGGCGAGTCCATATAAACTGTATGAAAACTACAAGAAATATGCCGGTGGCGGCGTTTTGTGGTTGCGGTCGGTGGCCCGTATGCGGCGACACTAATAAATATCCTTAGATCGTTTTTGAAGACGTCAAATACTCTGTGTGGGCGAATACTTACTGTTTTTTATATCGCAATATTTTGTCCATGATTTTGTATATTCTTTATGTTTGTTCATGACTTTGTTTTATGAGATATATTAGATTTTTCCTTTTGGCTGTCAAGGGTGTTTTTCTTTAACACAAATATAGAAAAATATAACGAAGACTCTTTTAATAATATGCATTGTTAAATAACGAAAATAATGGAATGGAAAAATTCTAAAAGTATTGTATAGTTAGATTCACTGACCTGCAGTCTCCTTTCCCGGCCGACTTGTCTCTCTATGACCTTGACCAGTTCCCAGCGATGAATTGAGCCCAGCAGCACCATCGACGATGGACTGTCCACTAGTGGGAAGCTCTTGATTGTCTATAACAATGGATAACACGTTAATAAACGTCTAAGTCTGATTAAAAAAAACCGAATGTGCTTATGACCACACGACTGAAGTGAAACTTCTTTAGCTCCATCTGTATGTATACATGTGTGTGGACAATATATACATGTATGTATGTATACATACATATTTCATTTACTACCTGTAAGAGAAAGAGAGAAAGAAAATGTGCGCACTGCTTTCTCTTGCTTATATCCACCTCACCCCACTCAACTTCCGTTCGCCTCGCCCGAACACACTTTTCGTAACGCGTAACGCATTCGCCAGCTTACCGCCCAAGTCAAGCGTGCGTAAAGACGTTTCACTTCAAAAAAATTGTAGCAGTCATACAAAGCAGAGCTTGTATTATAATAGGGTATTTGACAAGTTTTAGGAAACGATTTGACGTTATTGACTAATGTTTATGGAGTCCGTAAAAAGTGGATATTCATCATTCTGTTGTGTATTTCAGTAAAAATAACCAAATCAAAAACTCCATTTTCAAGTTGCCGCGAAAACGTTTCTCTGGACAATATGGCGTCTTACTAGTGTGTGACGTCACACGACTGTTATTAAAACGTCAAACGATACAATGTAATGTTACTTTAACCGGAAGTTTACTTGCGTGTGACGTCATTTTAGGCTCCGCCAATCCCAAGCGCTTTGGGTCACGTGACAATAGATAAGAAAACTATTATCTTTTTCGTTGGTTTTTAGTAAAATTATGAATATTTTTTTTGTAAAAATAGTAAAAACCCCTGCCAATATTAATTCTAAACACAGATGCTAACAATTGGCACTTATTTTTAACACTGTGAAATACCCTATTATGCCTATCTCTCTAACGGCAAAATCAGTAATTTGATTTAGATTGAGTGTATGAGTTTATCACAGAACACTGAATGAGGTTAGAAGGGCCTTGTGGGCGGGGCAAACACGCCACAGTTATGTGTGAGCAAATGCTCATAAATTGACCAAAACTTGGTTCTGATTGCGTCGTTGCTCTCGGGTGTGAGCGCTGATCGATTCGATTGTTTGGTGTCGGGTCATTTGATTGGGTATTATCTATTAGGTGGGAGTGTAGGGGGGGGGGGGGGGGGGGGCGAGCCGGTGACATCGGTTCCCATACACAAACGGTCTATGATCACCCTTCTAACCTCTTTCTGTTTTCTATGGAGTTATTCATAGTCCATTTATTGTAAACAAGAAAAACGCGTTTGGTTACAATAAACTGCACCGGACAGCGAAGGGTGCAGGTTCGAGTACCGTCTGCTGTCTGGACCGCGTGAAATTATTTTCTAGTAATTTTTTCTTGACATTTCAACATCTAGGCAATAAAATGCTTAAAAAATAAAAATACAACCTTTTGCTATTCAGGCAAATACACGGACCGGTTAGTCAGAAAATTCATCCAGTAATATTTTTCTAGAAATAAATGTCTAACTATGAGAGGCCTATGTAAAGCAGTGGACTTAGATAGGCTGTTAATGAAATGTCTAACTTGTTTAATGGTAATAACATTACCTTATTCTCTTTAAGCATGTCTTTCAGTTGCTGGAAGGTCATGCGGTCCCATATATACTTCACGTCGCGTACCATGAAGTCCTCGACGCAGATATCATACATGCCTGAAATGGAAAACATATTTGAGTACCTATCATCATCATCATCAGCCTATTAATGTCCCCACTGCTGGGTCACAGGCCTTCCCTATGGATGGAATAGGGATATTGGACCATGACCCACCACGCGGGCCCAGTGCGGATTGGCGGGTGCTAACGACTGCAGATGCAGCCGGGACCAACGGCTTAACGTGCCTTCCGAAGCACGGAGGAACTCGAGATAGAAGTTTTCGGTCACCCATCCAATGACCGACCACTGCGAAAGTTGCTTAACTTCAACCATCGCAGCCGAACGTGCTAACCACCTGCGCCATCGAGCTCCTCAAGTACCTACATTGATAAAAAAAAAACCGGCCAAGTGCGAGTGGATTTCGTACACGAAGTGTCATAAAATACCAAGTCTGAACATAAAATACCAAAAAATAAAACAAGTTTCAACGGGTTAGATACACTGATTTTATTTATTTATTGACGTTTCGCAGCCTTTGCAGGAATGTGTCGTCGGAATAATGATTTTATTAATACAAAAAATATAAAAATACATACATGCAAAAAATATAAATACAAAAAATCATCAGTACGACAACGCATGAATGCAAAGGATGCGAAACTTTAATAAATAAATAAAATAAATAATAAATAAAATAAAGCGTGGCAGCAATAGGGTTCCGCTTTTACTCTTGTAAACCCTAAACCCCAAAAAGAAAGTTTTATTTATATGAAACCAACAGTCTCACTAACCATTTACTCATAATGAAAGTTTTCCTAAAATCATATTTTTCAAGGTGCATATTTATAAGAATTGGTTCTAGTAATAGAGCCGCCCGCCTCGGAAAGGAATCTCCACTTTGGGGTCATCCATAAATTACGTCACACGAATTTCATGATTTTTTGCTCCTCCCCCCGTCCTTGTCACAGCTAGTCACATTTGTGAGACTCCCCCCCTCCCTAGTGTGACGTCACATATTGTGCAAATTTACATTTAAAAATTATTGAATGAAAACAACGGTTCTGAAATCAGTTTTATTTCCATTTAAATTGTTTTTTAATAATATTAACATCAAATCAAACAATTAACAAAAGAAAAAACGATTAATTATATTAATTAAAGAAATCACCAAACAAAAAACAATTGACTATGTTAATTAAAGAAATTAACAAAACCAAAAAAAAAAAATAAAAAAATAAAAAAAAGAAAAAAAAAATAAACTTTTTTTTTTTTTTTTTTTTTTTGTCTTTTTTATAAAGACCACCTCCTATCCTCCTCAGTCGGATGCCAGCAGGGTGACCCTCTCGGCCCAGCCATTTTTAGTCTGGCTATACACCCAATCATCGACCATCTAAATTCTAAATTAAATATGTGGTATCTTGATGATGGCACCCTAGGAGGCGACGTGACCACAGTCCTCTCTGATTTTCTTATGCTTAAAAACGAGTTTAGCAAAATAGGCCTGGAACTAAATTTTGCAAAATGCGAGATTTTTGTTCCAGAAAGCCTCGACAACAGGGAGGCAATCATTTCTAAATTCCAACTAATAGCTCCAAGCATAAGACTGTTAGATAAGAAATCACTTTGCCTCCTAGGGTCCCCGATTTTTGATGAATCACTCCCAGTTTTTATAGATCAAAATTTAAAAAAATATGAAGAAGTTTTTGAACCTTTACTCAAAATTAACTGCCAAATGGCCTATGTCATAATCCGGTACTGTCTTTTCGTCCCTAAATTTACGTATGTCTTGCGATGCTGTCCACTTTGGAAATTTCTCTCTCTCTTAACAAAGTTGGACGGTGTCATAAGACATACTCTCTCCTCTGTCTTAAATATAAAATTTGACCTCCGTTCCTGGACCCAAGCATCACTCCCTGTTAGGTTCGGTGGTTTGGGTGTACGCAACACTTCGGACGTCTCCCTCCCGGCCTTCATTTCTTCCATACACTCTACCGAACCACTCGTTGCGAAAATACTTGGGCGTCCTTTGAGCGAGTCCTTGTTCTCGCTTCTAGATGAAGCCGTAGCAACCTGGAGTGCAGCATGCCCTGACACCGACGTCCCGACGGACCCTGCCTCCCAGCGACTTTGGGACGCGCCACTCTGCAGGCTGAAACGCAATGCGCTTGTAGATACAGCTAGCAGTCCCGCAGACCGTGCGCGTCTCTTAGCCGTTGGCGAGTGGGAGTCTGGACTATGGCTGCAGGTACTGCCTTCCGCGAATATCGGTACGCTCCTAGACCGCTCAACTTTTCGCATAGCCACGTCCTTGCGCCTTGGCTCGCCCTGTGTCGTCCCCCATCTTTGCCGGTGCGGAGCGTTTGTCACCAACCTCGGCCATCACGGTCTCTCCTGCACAAGGAGTGCCGGCCGTATAACCCGCCACCACTGCATCAACGATGTCATCCGCAGGGCCCTCGCCTCCGCCAGCGTGCCTGCCGTTTTAGAACCAAGCGGCCTGACGCGCGACGACGGTAAGAGGCCCGACGGCATGACACTCGTTCCTTGGAAGCTGGGACGGGCACTTGTGTGGGACGCAACCTGCGTCGACACTCTGGCCCCGTCTCATATTCCCGGAACCTCGATGCAGGCTGGCGCGGCTGCTTCGACCGCAGAGGCCCTTAAGCGCCGCAAGTATGATTGCCTCAGTGGAGACTTCACATTTGCGGCGTTTGGAGTCGAGACTCAGGGACCCTGGGGCTCCGGTGCCCACCATCTTTTCAAAGAAATCGCAAAAAGATTGGTGGAGACCACTGGAGACCGCAGAGCTGGCGGCTATTTCGCCCAGCGCATAAGCCTCGCCATTCAGCGGGGAAATGCCGCCAGCGTCCTGGGAACCTTTGCCGACGGGGAAGACCTAGGGCAGCTATTTTTTTAATATTTTTAATATTTGTATAGTTTTAGTTTAATATTTGCCATGTTACTTATTTATACTATCCCTTAATAAATTATAAAAATATTAATAGCATTATAATTAAATTAAAGATACAAACTTAATAATCGTAAGTCCATGGACACTGAACCAACTCCTTTAAATTATTTATAACTGGCATAGCACCACTTTGTTCTCGTTTGGGTTGTTAATGTTTTCGTAAAGGAATAGTTTCAACACTTAGATTATAATAGATTTTGAAATGTGATGTCACGAAATTTAGGACCCCTCCCACCCCCTTGTCACACGATGTCACACTTCGTCGACCCCCTCCCTCCCCTTAACGTGTGACGTAATTTATGGATGGCCCCTTGACAGGAGACAACTTTGTTGTTGTTGTGTTTCTATCGGTGAGTATGATTCCAGGGTTCCACGGGGTAGAAGGATTGGGTCGAGGAGGAGGAACCCCCGCCGGGGGTAACGTGGAGAGTCACCTGGATCACACGAAACCCGTTCCGGCAGGCGAGGGAGCACTGTTGGGTTTTTAGTGGGTATTTCGATTCAGTCGGCCTAGGCACCTCTTAGGGCAGGAATGGCGGACCAATGGCACGCAACACAATATTTTGGGCCCGTCACTCACAGATAACAAAATTCATTATGCACTACGTAACATCTTACAACCCATGATATAGGCTATCTAATCTGAAAGAACAGAAGTCATAAATTGCAAAATGTACCTATTTTTCGTAGTAAAATAAAGAGTTTTAAATAAATATCGACCTCCGTGGCCGAGTGGTTTGTACGCCGGGTTTCATGGCTGTCGCCGACACGAGAGGTCCCGGGTTCGAATCCCGGTGGGGGCAGATGTTTGTGTGATGAATACGAGCATTTGTACTCCAGTCATGGATGTTTAATATGTATTTATATAAATATACTTATATATGTACAGTATATGTATTCTATCCGTTACCCTAGCAAAGGCTAGGCTAATTGGTGTGAGTGTCGGAAATATTTATTTGTTATTTATATTTCCGACACTCACACCTATTAGCCTAAAGTAAGCACTGTAAGGCTTGTGTTATGGGATACTAGGGTAACGGAAAGAATACATATACTGTACATATATAAGTATATTTATATAAATACATATTAAACATCCATGACTGGACTACAAATGCTCGTATTCATCACACAAACATCTGCCCCCACCGGGATACGAACCCGGCGACAAACCACTCACCACGGAGGTCGTTTTATTTTGAGTTAATAATATATATATTTCCCCAATAATCACAAAGTCAACATTATTTAATGGCACATCCATTGCCTCATTAAACATTTCTTTGGAAAATTGCCACGTTGGTACCTAAAGGTTCGCCCTGCCTGGCCTTAGAGTACCCCGACGACGAAATCACCCGCGACAGCGCCCCCCCCCACTCCTCCCACACAGGCTACAAGCACCAACACCACACAGCTAGCAGACTTGCATACTAGCTCAGCATTAGGCAGACACCGCACCCGTAGGATAAGAGTGCGAAGACCCGGGGGCCATTCGCCGAACGGAAATGGTTTGAAAAACGCTAACGCTTTCGATTTTATTTTGATATTTCTAACCGCCTGAGGTTTTCAAATGCCTCGCGCTCTTTTTTTTCTTTTGCATTGGTAATAACAATATTAAAGCGTGGGGTATTTGAAAACCTTCGGCGGTCAGAAATAACAAACTAAAATTGAAAGCGTTAGCGTTTTCCAAAGCGTCTCCGTTAGGCGAATGGCCCCCCGGTCTACACACGACACGCTATACCAGGTACAGGTACGTAGCTGGGCGTTTCTCCCCGCCCCCCACGACAACGGCTCACTAGAGCCGAGACTCTAGTTGAGTGACTCTCTCAGGTGCTCGTGGTCTGGAGGCTCCAGACGGAGAGGAGACTCCCCCCGTGGGGAGATGCCATCCGCCTGGAATACCTCTAGAGGCACTCGCCAATTCTCAGCTAGAGGTCCTTTAAGGATCTCGCTGGCCCCAAACCCGGTGACACTGTAAAGGTCATCTGCGACCAACAGCATATACACTCAAAAAAAACTGATATTTTAGACTCCACCCCACCTGATGTTAAGTAGTGGTAAAGTCCAGATTAAATAAAAGTTACGGTGCTGTCATCAATATTTTTCTATTTCAAATATTGTAATTCATATAAATAAAACTAAAGATAAAAGAAATTGCAGTTTTATTGCTAATAAAAAAAAATACACGCAAAGCAATTTTTAACGAGGTATAAAAAGTTGCCTTGCAGTCAAGTGTGATATTAATTTGTCGCTATCCACATGTGACGAGGTGGCCGAGTGGTTAAGGCGTTGGACTGCTAATCCAATGTGCTCTGCACGCGTGGGTTCGAATCCCATCCTCGTCGGGAACATTTTTATAATTTGTCTCGTTGAAATTTAATGATTCGTGACGACATAGCTTGATAGAAACCGTTTTTGAATAGTTACTTAAGAATTTTCGGATTTTTATTAATGTTTTTTATTATTTTAGTCCAGTCATATAAGACTTTACCTTGAAATGTGAGGTAAGAAGCGGAAATTTTGCAGAACTCTTCCCTTTGACATAAAAAGCAACGTGTCAAAAGGCACTATGGAGCTGAATATTGCGCGCTCTCCACGCTATATCTCAAGAACAATGTCAGTCGTATGAGAAAAAGTTTTGAACAAAAATATTATGTAAAATCACCATGCTTAACACCTTTAATGATAGTAATATATAATAGTTGGGAATTCAAAAAACTAGTGCATGCACACTATCTGACCACCTAATATTTCTTATCTCTGTACCATCTTATTTAGTTATTTCTAACTAATAAAGTGTATGTATATAATATTATATTGCTCGTCACAAGCAATAGGGTATTAAGTCGGCAAAACCATTAATTATTTATTTGCGTTTCGAAAAGTACATTTCTCTATAAACTGGTAAGATAATTGTATTTTAAGTCGAAATAGTTATTGAATTATAGGAACACATGTCCTCAATTTCTCGGCAAAATTTATGATTGTGAGTATTCTAAACAGTATTAAGTTAAGTTAATACCCTATTGCCCGTTCGGATTAATACAAGTTTGAAGTTTTATTTAAAATAATACACTCTGACCTGTTCAATTTTATCTAATATGTTATTTTCAGCGAAATTATTTTAAAATGACACTAGTTTTAATTTTAACATGAGCAATTTGAGCCATTTAAACTGCTTATAGGGTAGATCGATAGTTACCCAGTTGGACGTCACAGACGCAGTATTTTTTTCAGTTTTGGGAAAATAGTAGCTGCGGCCCATAGAAACGATTACATGACGATTGTTTTTTTCATTAATAATATATTTGGTTTTTGAAAGTGGTCATCGAAAAGAGATTTTTGGGAACCTCACTCAGCTACACGAATATTGTGTGGATTAAAACTGTAACATTCTTTTTTGAGCTCGTGTCGCATTTCCGTTTCAACGTTTCTATTGGATGTTTCCATTGACACACAGACCTAAAAGTTTTACTTTCAAAAATAAACTCACGACTGGCAGAAGACAGCAGGTCGGGCAGGTATGGCAGTTTCTTGATGAGGATTATGCTGTCGAAGCAGGACGGCTGCAGTAGAGAAGCTACTGCGTTGGCTGCCAACACTGCCGCCATTATTGGAAGGATGTGGGTCACCTGGGAACGGGCAGTGGATAAATAATTAATCACTAGATAACTAACAACATTTTTTAGTCACAAAAGCAGAAGATAAACTTTTAATAACTTGTATTATGATGTATGTGTCACCGTTAAATTGTAAATATCTTTATAATATTTTATCGATATTATAAACTGCCGAAAGATTGTGAACCATAACATACTGCTTACCATTTAACGCATTAGTTTTAACAATCATGAGTCGTATGCACCACGACTCATGGTTGAATCGTGGTGCATACGATTCATGGTTGAATCGTGGTGCATACGATTCATGGTTGTTAAAACTAATGCGACTAGGAAGCAAATATTAGTCAACTCATTACACGCACACAGATAGATGCCCCTTCTTTAATTTGAATCCTTGGCCTTTGAAGCAGAAGGCTGCTGCTAATCATCGTGAACATTTCATCATCATCAGCCTATTAATGTCCCCACTACTGGGGCACAGCACAGGCCTTCCCTATTGATGGAATAGGAAGATTGGACCATGACCCACCACGCGGGCACAGTGCGGATTGGCGGGTGCTAACGACTGCAGATGCAGCCGGGACCAATGGCTTAACGTGCTTTCCGAAGTGCGGAAGAACTCGGGATAGAAGATTTTTGGTCACCCATCCAATGACCGACCACTGCGAAAGTTGCTTAACTTCAAAGATCTAAGCGGGGACATCAATAGGCTGATGATGATGATGATAGCGGCACGCTGTTCAAAGTATGGTTCATGGCAGCATATATTTGTCCAGTTTCTTACTATAGGAGTCGACTTTATGTGTTAAATTTAAACTTTGTCTATGATTTAGTTCTTTTTCTGAATTATCAGTGTAGTGTAGTGACATACGCACCTGTCCCGTCATCTCGCTCACGATGACGATAGTGGATACGGTGTGCGTCACGGCACCCGTGAAAGCAGCTGCGCCTACGGTCGCGTATCCACCTGAACAGATATTGATAAAAAATATTATTAAATATTTCCAACACACACACCAATAGGGGTGACGAAGGGGTAAAGTAAACGAAATTCTATTTAGTCCGTCATTTTGATGATCAAAAAATAATGGACATGTATATTTTTTATTTGGTCAATCAACCAAAAACTGACAAAGATAAAGCGGGTCAAAGTTTGAGAGTGGGGGATTGTGACGTCACTATTAAGTAAAAATTGAACCAAAACGTGATGTCATGCGATTTTTCAAATTAATAAACCACAGTAATGTTTTGATTATGTGAAAAAAGAAAAGAATTCGTGTCCAATACTTTTTGATAATCTACCTGATAAACGAAGAAAAAAAAGTTAGACGTCATCCCTATTAGCCTAGCCCCAAAGTAAGCATTGTAAGGCTTGTGTTATGGGATACTAGGGTAACGGAAAGTATACATATACTGTACATACATAAATATATTTAGTACAAATGCTCGTATTCATCACACAAACATCTGCCCCCATCGGGATTCGAACCCGGGACTCTCGAGTCGGCGATACCATGAATCCAGTACAAACCACCCGGCCACGGAGGTCGTAAAAAATACACTACTACCACATACTATTATACAATGATGTCGATTCTGGGATAATTCCCTAAACTTAAAACTAAATTTAACATCGGTCTCTCGTTTTCGTCCTATGTAAAGTATGACAAGGATACCCGGTTGTTAAGTTTCGGAATCTAAGTCGGAATTTAAGTTTAGGTTTTTTTTATAGATAGATCCGACAAATGACTCCACCCCACCTGATGTTAAGTGAAGGTGAAGTCCAGACACGAAGATAGCTGATACAGCAGTTCTACCTGCCACACCAGCCATCCTCACCCTGCCGGCCTGCATGTTGCTTCTTCACGCCTCTTTTAAAGGATCCCAGGTTGTAAGAGGGAGGGAACACGTGAGCGGGCAGAGCATTCCATTTACGGATAGTGCGACAAAGAAATGAGTCACCAAATTTCTTTGTACGCGTTGGAATTGTGGTCACAGTAAGACGGTGACATCGTAAGCCAGCGCGCGTGGTCCTCTGAAGAAAAGGAGAAGGTGGGATAAAAGAGAATAACTCCTCAGAACACTCGCCGTGGTACAGACGATAGAACGCGCTTAGTGACGCCACGTCACGGCTTAATTGAAGAGGCTCAAGGTGTTTAGTCACCTCCTCATCGCCTATGATGCGGATCGCGCGCCGCTGGTTTAGAGAATCATGCCAGAATCGAAACCAATATGTGTATAATAATAAAGTGCTAAGCAACCTAAGAGTAGAAAAAGCAATGGAACTATGAGGTACATGACACCGACTACAAATTTTAATTTCTAGTTAAATGTACTTTAGATATTGTGAAGAATAGAAGTATCATTTCTAGATTTTTTATGGTTCTGTTTACGAAAGATTGGTTTTTATATTGGTATAATTACGCATCTGGTCAAACTACTTTTTTTTACAGTCCGGAGGTTTCGGGGCCGTTGAATTTGAATCTCAAAAAATTTTCAATCAAAACCGCCTAAAACAGTATTAAAATTACTAAATTTATCAACTTAAAACCATGCCAAAAGCTCACTGGAGGTATGACATTCAGTTATATACAGCTCCTGTAAAATTTAATTTTATGTAATTACTAGCTGACCCGGCGAACTTCGTACCGCCATAAAAGATACGGGTTGGTGGTAGAAAGTTGAAAATTTAGGGATGTATGTATTTTTGTATGATGTATCATAAAAAAATTAAAAATGTTATCTAAAATTGAAAAAAAAAATTTAGATGTGAATTACCGTTAACATTTAGGGGGATGAAAAATAGATGTTGTCCAATTGTCAGACCTACCCAATATGCACACAAAATTACATGAGAATCGGGAAAGCCGTTTCGGAGGAGTTTAACCACAAACACCGCGACACCAGAATTTTATATATTAGATACCATTGTGGTCGCCAGCTCCTCATATATTTTTTTTCTAAGCCAGACAAAATCAGCTATTTAAGGGTGATATCCTGCATTCTCTGTGTCATATTTGTTTTAATAACATAGCACTATATATGTATATCGTTTGTTGTACGGGCCGAGCTGTACTCTTTGACGAATGTTAATAATAAATAATAGAAAGTCTGAGATTTAAGTGTTTTATTGCTGTTCACAAAATACGTAAAATAAATAAAACTAGTTTTAACGTGTTAATGCACGAACTTTATTTATTTATTGGCGTTTCGCAGCCTTTTCAGGTCTGCATCGTCAGAATAATGATTTTTTATTTACTTTATCGAGCTACCCTCGAAAGACTTTTATTGAGCGTTAGGATATTTCATTGGAAAGGTAGCTCGACAAAGTAAATAAAAAATCATCATTCTGACGATGCAGACCTGCGATGCGAAGAGGCTGCGAAACGTCAATAAATAAATAAAGTTCGTGCATTAACCTGTTAAAACTAGTTTTATTTAATGAGTGATGTGCGTGAAAACCTGAGAAACAAATACGTTAAATTAACTTGTTTAATGCTTTGTTAAAGATGAGGTCACATGTTTATTGAAAGAATGGTAATTGCGAACTGAATCATAATATTATTATTTTTTTACTTGGCAGTGTTGCGGCCCTAAAGCCGTGCAAAATGTTTATGCACAATGCCATAGACCACCCACCTCTGGCAACACTTTTGTCTACTGTCATTTGCTGTAATTTTTGCTTTTTTTACTTTTTGTTATCACTTTCAACACGGGTTTTTACAAAAAAAAATATTTCTACAAAACCATGGTTTAATTTAATTAATGGCACCGTTATGTCCATTGATGGCTCATGAGGGGAACGAACCCGCGACCTTCGCGTTATCAGCACTATTTATATTCTGTATCTGTCAAGAGAATGGGTTCAAATGGGATCACAAAACAGTCCTTTAATCTTTATACAAACCTGGCAATATCTTCTGTATTTGTCCGCCGTAAGCGACGCCCAGGGGGCAGCAGTAGTGCATCAGCTCCCCCGCCAGTCTGCCCAGCGAGGCGCCCATCTTGAACGCTGGCACGAATATGCCAGCCGGCACTGGCAGCGTGCAAGACACCATGCTCAGGAAGAACTGGCAGACACAGAGAGAGAGTTCTTAGATAATTAATTGTGGCTAGATGAATTCTCGTGGAAATGAAAAAGAGTCTATCAGCCTATTAATGTCCCCACTGCTGTGGCACAGACCGACATTAATAATACCTACTAATGTATAGTTCAAGGCTCTCTGTATTACTACTATATTTTATAATTTTTATTTTTTATGCATGTAACTGCTCGATGTTTAAATCTAAATAAAATATAACTAGAAAAAATTCGCAATCCGGGCGAATGCACTGACTAATTATGCTACCGCGGCCCTGACGGCCGCGCCAAAATTCTCCTAGCCATTCTTAAGCTGCAAGGCAGTATATATAATATATATTATATTATTATTATTAATAATGTAACTTTAGTTAAGAGCGGACTGGGGCTGAAAGACATTTGGGAAATAGGTATTTTGAAAAACTATTGCTGTCACGCATTAGCTAATACCATGCGATAGGAACAACAGTAGTTAACGCTAAAAATTGCTTAGAAAAATTGCAAAATTAGAGGTTTGGCTCTAGACGATTTCCTCCTCGTAAATTAGTTATATACTAGCAAACCAGTGAACCAAATGTTCACCAATTAAAAAAAAATGTATTTAATTAATTGAGAACTTCGGAGATTTTGTGTGGTTTCGTTTGAAATTCGTGATTTCTCGAAAACCGGAAGTGCTACGTTACTCAAATCCGGTTTGTAGTCTTATCAGACTATTCTTAACTTATAACTTAAACATTCTCTTTGTCTATCTCTTACGGTTTGGTCGCTGAAACAGCACCACAGACGGACGGACGGACGGACTTGTCTAATAGATAAGAGATAAGTAGTTATACTATGCCTCTATGTTTTGATTGTTTTTGTAAATGCTTATTAAAGGAGATTGCTCAGCTTCCATACATGTTTGGCCTAAAGACCAATAATCATGAAAAATTGTTTCCTAGATTCGAAATTATATATAAATTACTGTAGAAACGAATATTATTGACGGACACCCCTGAAAACTTCTATAAACCATACACACTGAACATATTAAAATAATAAAAAACAAATAAGTTATATAGTAAACTAGGGAAATCAAGCCAAGTACCAAAATTATGGATTAGATTCAGATATATAGAGCATGTAGATTAACAGATAGTTGCCTGTTTTTAAAGTTAATGCATAAGAGTAACTTTTAAAATCAGGTGTCATTTCCGGTTATAATAAGGTACTCTGTGACAGAAACTGTGTGATGATTGTGAATGAGCCACAGATTAGAGAGAATTTTTAAACTCTCGTTAACCAAAGAAAGCTAAGAGATTTAGGTTATATAGCCATATATTCAGTAGCTTCATTAGTTTTGTTATGTTTTTAAGATAACCATATTTTAGATTTTTAGTGAAGCATACCTTATAATTTTATTTATTTATAAATTTATAGTCAGGGAACGTATGCCCATAGATAGATACCTTAAAGTCTAACATATATACAGATTATAATGTGTTTATGGAGGTGTTTGGCGAAAAATGTATGGCAATAGACTTTATGATGTCGCCTACCATCTATAATAATTGTCTGAGCACATTTGCATGTAGTGAAAATGATAATATAGTAGTGTATATTAATACCACAGTGTAATAAAAAATATGATTTATTTTATCGATCTTTACAAGATAGATTTGTTTTTATGTTATATAAACTTCGATCAGTCTTTGGCTGAATGTTACTACACCCATAGCCATTAAAAATTATTCATATGTTTTCCAAACCGGTAAAATTAAAAGTTCTTTTTAAAGTAAATATATCATACAAAGGTGTCCGTTAAAATCTAATGACCGTAAAATAAATTATAAATTACGCCAAGAATTACCGTGTATGTCAATATTTTTTTTTTGCATTTGGGCCAATTTGAGCAATCTCCTCTCCAAACTAGGCGTCTTTAGTGATGATAAAATTTTGATAATTTTGCCTTTTTTTGAGGGGTTATAGTTTCTTTGAAACGCAAGTTATGGAAAAAAGGAAAACATAGGAGCATAGAATGAGTGAAATATATATTTTATGTATGAAAATAATTTTTTTAGTATTTAAAAATCAAGGAGGAATCAGTCGAGAATGTTTTGGAAAAAACATTGCCCACCTACCCCCTTAAGGGGTGGCTGAAAACAGCTTTGGTCCTTATTGTCTTAATTTTTATAAATTACTAGCTGTCCCAGCGAACTTCGTACCGCCGTAAAAAAGTAGGGGTAGGTGGTAGAAGGATGAAAAAATTTAGGGTTGTATGTATTTTTGAATGATGTCCCATACAAAAATAAAACAAAAAAAAATTGTCCAAAAAAAAACAAATTAAGGGTGTCGGATGTTGTCCGATTCTCAGACCTACTGAATATGCATATAAAATTTCACGAAAATCGGTCGAGCCGTTTCGGCGTAGTTTAATAACGCACACCGTGACACGAGAATTTTATATATTAGATTAATATCTGTTAGCATGTACAAAGACAAAAAATTATTATTCATCATCATCATGAGCCTATTAATGTTCCCACTGCTGGGGCACAGGCTTTTCCTACGGATGACATAAGCAGAATGGGGTATGACGCGATACCAGTTCGGATTGGTGGGTTCTAACTACTGCAGCCAGTACTAACGGCTTAATGTGCCTTCTGAAGAACGAGAATATTCGAGATAATGGGTTTATGGTCACCCATCCAATGACCAACCATTGTGAAAGCCTCTTAACTACCACAATCGCAGACCGAAAATGCTAACCACCTGCGCCTGCGAGCTCCTAATCGAGAATTTTAGCAAAAGCGCATACCACCATCATCATCGGATATTTATTTTTAAGTAAGAAAAAATACCCATAAAAATATTATAAAATTCCTCGAATATCTTTGCATTGCAAAGGTATTCGAAGAATTCATATAGAGTATGTGTAAAATTTTCAGTCCAGCAATTAAACCTTTGGGCCAAATAGCCTGTTTTGTAAATGAAATAAATAGCTATATTAGTAATTAACGTACTCTGAACACGATCCAATGTTTACTCAGGTGAAAAAGTTATTCACAAATTGATTTATCGCATTACCTATATTGGCGCCAATCAATAATTATATGTTCTTTAAATATTGTGATGGATGCAGTTGGCTCAATTAAATAAAACAGGCCAAGTGCGTTTCGGACTGACCCGTGAAGGGTTCCGCATTAGCACACAAGTGTAAAAATAAATTTGCAACAGAACCACATTTTGCGATTTGCAAAGTCTTCTTCAAGAAATCGTGAGAGTTTAAAATTTTACCTACTAAAATGTTATTGCTGAATTCAAATAGGTAAAGATTTATGTTAAAGATAGTCAAATCAAATCAAATCAAATCATTTATTGCACCATGTTGTTACATTGATCTTAGATAGAAATTATAATTATAGATACAAACATGACCCTGCTAGGGCATTGCAAAATACTAAATAAACATAAACATTATCTTAACATCATGAACGTATTCTATATTAACATTATTTATTGATTGTCACTATTTAAAAATTATCATTATTCAGTAATTAGTTATTAATAATTATTAAGATTATTCATTTAAAAATTCTCGCAGCGAATAAAAACATTTTTTAACAAGATATTCCTTTAGCATTAACTTAAATTTATTTGTTTCGATCTCTTCTTTAATATTTCTAGGTAACTTGTTATAAATCTTCACACACATTGACAGGGGGCCACTTCGAAACATTTTTAATTTGCAGGTTGGTTGAGCTAATTTATTTTGTGGTCTAAGAATTTGAGGACGTTGGTAATACGGAAAGAACTCAGGGTGCTTTCTAACAAATTCGCACACGGCGTATATGTATAGGGATGCTAAAGTTAAAATATTGAATTTGGCAAAGTACGGCTTGCAGCTATCCATAACACATAAATTGCTTAATATTCTTATGCACCTTTTTTGCAGTCGGAAAAGTTTATCCACTCCTGTACTACTTCCCCATAACAATATGCCATAGGTCAGCCATGAATGTGCGTATGCATAATAAGCATTTTTCGCCGATTCAAAGTCAGTTAGCTTTTTAAGTTCCCGTAATGCATACGAAAATCTAGACAATTTAATAGCAATTTTATCTACATGTTCCTTCCAATTTATATTTGAGTCGATGCTTATTCCTAAGAGGGGGTAATTATCAACTAGTTCTATTTTTTCATTATTGAATTGAAAGTTTATGTCTAGGGGGTTTCTTTGATGAGGTCGGAATTCTATTAATTTTGTTTTTTTAAAGTTGATTTGTAAGTTATGCTCATTTAACCAGATGTTTACTTTTGACAATGTGCTGTGTATTATGTTATTTATATTATGGTTTTGATTATTTTCAATGGGTATTACTATGGATATGTCATCTGCAAATAAAGCGCAAGGTACATCGATTACATGAGGAAGATCGTTGATGTAAATTATGAATAAAATACATCCGAGGACGCTGCCTTGTGGTATTGACATTGTCACTTCCTCTTTTTGAGAGCGGACAGTCGATGTATAGCCTAATTTAGTATTGTGATTTTCTATTTCTACGTATTGGCTTCGATTGTTTAGGTATGAGGCAAACCACTTTTTAGCTATACCTCTCACGCCTATTCCTTGCAATTTGGAAAGCAAAATATCGTACTTAACATGATCATACGCTTTGCTCATATCAAGCAACAAGCCAACCGCGCGTTTCTTTTCGTTGTTAATTGAAAGGACGCTTTGTATGTAATTATAGTCTACACTACACCTTTAATTACAAAACTCAAATTGACCCCGACCTTTGATTCATAATGACCAAGTTTCCTTGTCCATAAAACATGAAATAAACAGAGACAACATTTTTATTTTTCAATATTTTTAGTTTGTAAGATATAAAGGCAAATAATTTTATATCTATTCAGCCTTGTCCTGAGTGGATGATGATCTGCCAGAGCATTTCGCTTTGCTCGGTCCATGTTCTGTCATATTTTTATTATTTATCTTAATATTTTGTAAGTAACAATAAATACATATATTAAATATTTTGTTAGTCACTCATAAAAAACAGGCCCAGTCAGAATATCAGCGCTGATGCGATTGTCGTCGGCAGACAAGATCCTGATTAAACGTTATTCTTACTTTTATCTTTTTCTTGAATATTGTTTAAGTAGCTGTTACTTTATTTAAAAAGTGGAAAGCTAATTCTAGATCAATTCTAATAAGACATTTTTTTTTCATTATTTCAAGCGACTTGTAAGGCAAGTAGTTCAGGAATCCTTTTTTCCGATTGTAATATTACTATGGTATCGATGATTTTATTGAATCACTACATAGTATAAAACAAAGTACCTTTCTCTGTCCCTATGTCCCTTTGTATGCTTAAATCTTTGAAACTACCTAACGGATTTTGATGCGGTTTTTTAATAGATAGAGTGATTCAAGAGGAAGGTTTATATGTATAATACATGCATAATATAGTAGAGAAACACTGATAATTTTAGAGGTTTTTAATGTTAGGTCGTAAATAAACACATTTTTTGCGCTTACATTGCAAACGCTGGCTGAACCCCACGAGATAGATCAAAATAATGTACTACAGTATTGTACACCTTAAAAAGGTCTACAAAAAAGTCCGCGATGGTATATGTCTATCTCTTAAGGATAACCCACAATAACCAATTTTTATCCTATACTTTTTACGAGAAATAATAGATTATTTACGAAGCAATTTTAAGCAATATAACATTCATCCTTATCCAATTAAGTACCTTAAATACATTGTGCATTTAATATAGAACAATTTGGCCCTTTAACGCATATAATTTAAATGAATATTTTCGAAGATATTACAAATTTAAAATTCAGGGACATAGCGGTTCCGTCGCTACCGGGCTTGGCGGCGCGTGCCTATTGTAATTGGGTATTAGAAGAATGTCATTGTGTATAATACAAGCCTGAGAACAAAAACTATAGTCTACACTACAGCTTTACACCGAAGCGAAGCAAGGGCGGGCCACTAGTCATTTATATATTAAAGTTTATGAACAACTTCAAAATTATTAATATAATATTCAGTCTAGGCTGTTACAAGCACTCAATATCGAAAAGCTACGCCATCGTTTCGCAAATTTACGGCAGGAGACCTTGTACTAAGATGAACCGCCAAGAAACTCAGCAAGCTAACAGGGTCGTCAAATTGAAAAATGACTTCAACATGAGATAACTCATGAAGTCATTTTCCATTACAAATGTAAATGATATCAAAATTATGACTATAAAATAAGAATATAAAAAAAAATCGATTTAATAAAGTTTAGGAACGTTTAGGAATGCCGTGTCCTACTGTTTAGGCATAGACGTTGGTTTTGAATAATCGATTTTATATTCATTTTTATTAATTAACTAGCGGCCCGCCCTCACTTCGCTTCGGTGTAGAGCTGAAGTGTAGACTACAATTTTTGTTCTCAGGCTTGTATTATACACAATGACATTCATCTATGATTCTTCTTATACCTGCATGCAAAGTCTCAGCCCGATCGGTTTAAAATTGACAAAGTTTCATACAAACTTTCATTCCCTATTTTATCCCCTTGGGGGTAGAATTGATCAAAATCCTTTCTTAGCGGATGCCTACGTCATAACATCTACCTGCATGCCAAATTTCAGCCCGATCCGTCCAGTGGTTTGGGCTGTGCGTTGATAGATCACTTTATCAGTCAGTTAGTCACCTTTGAGTTTTATATATATACTAGCTGACCCAGCGAACTTCGTACCGCCCTAAAAAAATAGATCCCCTTGAACACACACAAAAAATTTCATCAAAACCGGTCCAGTCGTTTAAGAGAAGTTCAGTGACATACACACTCACAGAAGAATTATATACATAAAGATATATATATAGATAAATATAAGGCTTTGCATAACATTGTTACATTAATTAGTTATCACAATATAAATGCTAAATGAAAATTGAACACTACATAAATTTCTTATCGCCTTATCATAAACCAACTTGTTAATTTGTCGCTATCCACATGTGACGAGGTGGCCGAGTGGTTAAGGCGTTGGACTGCTAATCCAATGTGCTCTGCACGCGTGGGTTCGAATCCCATCCTCGTCGATTAGTTTTTTAATGATAATTTGATATTTATAACGATATAACTGTCAATATTAATCGCTTTAAACTACAATAAAATTGTGATAGTTTAAAATGTTTACGTTGTTAAGGCAAATTGTTTTTTATTTTATCAAAAATGTATTGCTGAATTTTAGGTGTTGGCTTGTGTTCTAAAGGTCCTGGGTTTGATTCCTTTGTTGGCGAGTTCGTGTGACTGGCACCAACAATTTTGTTTCGATCTTGATTGTTCATTTCATTCATGAATTTGAATTTTAAGACATATGGTCTAGCCTCAAAATAAGCACTATAAGTATAATTATGCAGTGTGTGAATGTCATTTGCATTAGTGTACTGTATCCTACAATGGTGTAAATAAAAAAATGTTAAACTTTGATTTTAAAAAAAACACGATAGAATAGAACTATATGAACAGAAAACTTAAGTGTTTAAGTCCTGGAGCCTGCCAGTGAGCCACCATTGCATTTTTATTTCGGTTTACATTATTAATTACATTCACTTCAATTTTAATCAATGCATTGAGGTTATGACTCCTATTAAAAATTAAGGAGACCTTAGAGTTTTACCCAATTTGGTTCCTTGGTACAAATTATCTGAAAAACATCTAAAATTATACTTACAAAGACTCACTCATCAAAAAAAAATTATGAAAATTTGAATGACAATAGCGAATCTGATGAGAGAACAGGCATCCGAAGTAGCTAAGTCCCGGAGCCTGTCAGTGAGCCACTACGGCCACATGATCAGACTTTTTCTGATCTATTATTAGAAGAATATTATAGAAGACCTAGTTACAATTACTACGTTACAAATATGAATCTATTTTACTATATTAACTCACGATAGCACAGTAGTATATGAATAAGCATCCGAAGTAGTTAAGTCCCGGGGCCTGCCAGTGAGCCACTACGGCCGCTTGATCGGACTTTTTCCGATCATTTATTAGAAGAATATTATAGAAGACCTAGTTATAATTACTACGTTACAAATATGAATCTATTTTACTACATTAACTCACGATAGAACAAAAATATATGAACAGGCATCCGAAGTAGTTAAGTCCCGGGGCCTGCCAGTGAGCCACTACGGCCACATGATCAGACTTTTTCTGATCTATTATTAGAAGAATATTATAGAAGACCTAGTTATAATTACTACGTTACAAATATAAATCTATTTTACTACATTAACTCACGATAGAACAGTAGTTTATGAACAGGCATCCGAAGTAGTTAAGTCCCGGAGCCTGCCAGTGAGCCACTACGGCCGCTTGATCTGACTTTTTCCGATCATTTATTAGAAGAATATTATAGAAGACCTAGTTATAATTACTACGTTACAAATATAAATCTATTTTATTGTATTAACTCACGATAGAACAGAAGTATATGAACAGGCATCCGAAGTAGTCTAGTCCCGGGGCCTGCCAGTGAGCCACTACGGCCGCTTGATCGGCCGATAACTCGTCGCCCCACGTGAAGTTAGAGAATAGGGATAACACCTGTATAAAACAACAAAGATTAAATCATTGAATTAGTTTTTTATATACTTTATTTCAGATAAGATTAAAAGAAATGAAAAAAGTTTCTCAACTTAAGACGAGGCTGTATGGACATTGTTCCCCATGCCTTCCCAAAATAGGAGGAAATTAAAAATTTTTTTAAGGGCATATTTTCAAGTCAACGTGGTAATAAATGTTTAATAACGGTTTTGTAAATTTATGCGTGAAATATACGAGCACAGCAATTTAAACAATGACCTACATAAAAAATCAACTCTTTAATTTAATTTTATTTAATCTATATTGCCTTTACAATGCAAATGGCGGACTTAATGCCAGTATGGCATTCTCTACCAGTCAACACAGTGAACATCAAACAATGATAAAAACGAAATTCATCATCATCAGCAGCCTATTAATGCTGCTGGGGTACAGGCCTTCCCTGTAGATGGAATAGGGAGATTGGGACTTGATCTACCACGCTAGCCCAGTGCGGATTGGCGGGTGTAAATATACTTTAATAAAAACGAAACTATATAGCATTAATTACTTATACCTACACATACATACATACAGGGTGTAGAAAAACCTATGACAAAGACTTAAACTAGGCATTCTGTATACCCAAACAAGTCATATTACAAAATATTATAGGTGGGAAAAAATTGTATTTTTAAGTTAAAAAATACATTTTTTCCCAGTACGCAATGTATGGCGCGGCGCGCTGCTGTGGCGCTATGCAAAGAATGTGCCTGTGTGTATGTGTGTGCGTGTGTGTAAGTGCGTCTATAAAAAAGTTTCTAAATAACGTTTTGAAAATAATAATGAAAATATTAATAATCTTGAAAAAAAATTTTTGACTTTGACCTTCATTATTTCCATAACCATAAATTTACCAGGTATGGTTCAGAAGAAAAAAACTATCGTCATGATGTGGAAAATACGTGGCCTTCGACTTCGTTATAGGTTTTTTTTACACCCTGTATATAAATATACATTTATTTTTTTAGATGTTAATAATGGTAAGATATTAAGAATGGTTATCAGATAGTTACTTATAGGGTTACTTTATGTGGGAGGCCCCTTAACTTTGTTACACAGTTTAAATACTTGGGACACGTCTTAACTGATACTTTATGTGATCACGAGGACCTGGAAAGACAGAGAAGAAATCTTGCTATGAAAAGCAATATGTTAGCAAGGCGTTTTTCACATTGTTCTGAACAAGTTAAAGTAACATTATTCAAGTCATACTGCCAGGCATTTTATACTGCTGGCCTTTGGTATAAGTTTAACAAACAAAACTTTAACACACTACGAGTGCAATACAACAATGCGTTTCGTGCAATGTTAGGGTTACCTTGGAGATGTAGCGCAACGGGCATGTTTAATATTTATAATGTGAAAAACTTTCATGAACTTATGATTGGATTTAAAGTCTCATTCCACAATAGAGTAATAAAATGCACCAACAGCATTATTTCGGCTGTTTTTCAAACTTTATATATGCACGATTTAAATTTTTGTAATCAGAAAACTTAATAGAAATTAATACAATGTTTAATACAATATGGAATAATGATTAACAGTTAAATGACTTAGAATAATGTATGTAATTAATAATGGTTAATTTAAATTTTGACGAAACGTAAGTGGATTTAATTGTAATTAATAATCTATGGGACATGTATTTGAATGTATACCAGTGCCTGCAATAAAAATGATTTATTATTATTATTGTTACCTGTTCCTGGTTGCCGAGGTCCGCGGCCATATACTTGCCGATGCCGGGCGGGAACAATATCGACATGACGGCCAGCGTCATGAACCCGGGGTAGATGAACCGGCTGATGACAAAAACTAAAATTAGGGGCCATCCATAAAATACGTCACACGTTAAGGGGGAGGGAGGGGGTCGACGAAGTGTGACATTGTGTGACAAGGGGTGGGGAGAGGTCCTAAGTATCGTGACGTCACTATCTACTTTTGAACTTTTATCAAAAAGTCTTTAAAATATGTAGTTCTCTATCTGTATGGGGTTTCATTTGTTTTTTGGCTTAATAATAATTTTTAAAGTCAAAATAGCAAAATATGTGACGTCACACTAGGGAGGGGGGGACTCACAAGTGACCAACTGTGACAAGGACGGCGGAGAGGTAAAAAAATCACGTAATCAGTGTGACATACTTTATGTATGATCCCTTAGTGTGCACGGACCGCACAGCTGAAATGAAATTTTTTTTTAAAACAACCTTCCTAACCTAACATTATAGGCGGTGCATAAGGCATAGGGGAATGGAGCAGCGCATGCATCACTCATATATATCTAATATATAAAATTCTCGTGTCGCGGTGTTTGTGGTTAAACTCCTCCGAAACGGCTCGACCGATTTTCGTGAAATTTTATATGCATATTCAGTAGGTCTGAGAATCGGATGTAATATATTTTTCATCCCCCTAAATGTTAAGGGTAATCCACCCCTAATTTTTTTTTTCAATTTTAGATATTTTTTTATTTTTTTATGATACAACATTAGTAAATACATATAATCCTGAATTTTCAACCCTTTACAATCAACCCCTATTTTTTTATGGCGGTACGAAGTTCGCTGGGACAGCTAGTATATACATATATATATATATATATATATATATATCCTTACTAATATTATAAAGGCGAAAGTTTGTTTGGATGGATGGATGTTTGTTCCTCTTTCACGCAAAAACTACTAAACGGATTTTAATGAAACTTTACAGTAATGTAGCTTATAGATCAGAATAACACATAGGCTATAATTTATAAAGATATTGTGTGAATTGTCCAAAATATAACGATAAATGTCATTTAAGTCTGAAAAAATTCTGCAATCTGCGAGCTATTCAGGCGTGTGCTGCAAAAACAGTTAGTGCTACATGTATATAATGTATGGTGAAAATATTTATCTTAAATAGTCCTACAAAAAATTCTGCGACACCATATATATCTATCTTTTATGAGTAAGCCATTATTTTCAAAATAGTGAACCATAAATACAATAAAAATTGATAATTTATTTCTAATGCACATTTGGTAGTAATAAATGGATACATAAAGACCTTGCTTTTATTCGAATTACACGCAGACGAAGTCGCGGGCAAAAGCTAGTATATATATATTGTCGTGTGTGACGTTCGTGACGCTCGTAGCATTTCAGCCTTTACCTAGTTACCCTCCAACTTTCATGCTCGTCGGGAAGAGCTGCGCGCGCAACTCACATACACACACACATACACATATACAGGGTGTTACAAAAATACAAATAAAGCTTGAAGGGCGTTGAAGTACATCATATAAGGAGTCTTCTCCAATTTTCTTAAAATATTTGCATGAAGTTTTAACTTTTTATAAAAACAGTTATTTTTAATGATTACTAAAAATATATATCATTTTAAGATACTTGACTAGTTCGAGGATCAATAAAAATAACTGCTTTTATAAAAAGTTAAAAATTCATGCAAATATTTTAAGATTATTAGAGAAGACTCCTTATATGATGAACTTCAAGGCCCTTCAAGCTTTATATATATATACAGGGTTACAGGGAAAGTCGTACTGAATATTGAAGGACGTTATTATTCAGGTCATTTCTGATAGATTTGATCCTATAATATGGTGTCCGAAACATAACCGTTATGGAGATATTGGATATGTAAGATTTTTTTTAAAAATCCTATATTTTTTGGGTTTTTGTCGATTTTTTTGAAATTAGAGCTCCAGAGGTCCGATTTTTTAATGTATCTAGTTAGAAGACATGTCAAGCAATAAAAATAATGAATAAAAACTGAACCTACTTCTAACGGCTTAAAAAAACTGCTCGACAACGGTTGTAACTAAAGAATTTTCACCAAGTGTTCTTAACTTTGAAGCGCTATTCTAAAAAAAAATGTATGGAACTTATTCTGCAAATCTACGTACGTAGATTACTACGTCTCTTTAGCTATTCAAAAAGGTATAACACTTGCTATTAAATTGGCAAAACATTGACCAAATAACAGTTATGGTAGCAGAGGGTACATTTTTAGTTTGAGGTAAAAATAGCAAAAATACGTAAATAAAACCAAAAAAGGTTAATAAATATTTTTAAAATTCATGTTCAACATGGCCGCCGCTATTTCTAACATATATTCTCATTCTTTTTCTTAAAGTTTTTAAAATTATTTGCAGAATCAAATCAATCATTATAATTTAATAGAAAATATTTGTGATATTCGAATGCATGGTCAGTAAATCAGGAATATAACTGTCTCCTTTCCTCGCGGTCCGTACCTGTTATATTGCTAACAGCGTATTCAGAATAGGGTATTTGACAAGTTTTAGAAATCGATCTCACGTTATTGACTAATGTTTTTAGAGTCCGTAAAAAGTGCATATTCATCATTCTGTTGTGTATTTCAGTAAAAATAATCAAATCAAAAACTCCATTTTCAAGTTGCAGCGAAAACGTTGTTCTCTTCGACTGATATTAAAACGTCAAACGATACAATGTAATGTCACTTTAACCGGAAGTTTACTTGCTTGTGACGTCATTTTAGGCTCCGTCAATCCCAAGCGTTTTGGGTCACGTGACAATAGATAAGAAAACTATTATCTTTTTCGTGGGTTTTTAGTAAAATTATGAATATTTTTTTCGTAAAAATAGTAATAACCCCTGCCAATATTCATTCTAAACACAGATGCTAACAATTGGCACCTTATTTTTAATACTGTCAAATACACTATTGCGCGTAAAGTCAAAGATTATAGTGACTTTCAATGTTTAATTAATGCCGCATGTTAATTTTGATTACGCGATTATCTTACGGAGCTCCGTGGATCGTCCAATGTACCTTTTGGATAAGGTTTGGGTATATATGTAAACAGACCCACTTTCGCATTTACAATATTAGTATAGAAAAATAGATAAACATTAATAAAAGAACTAACTGGGTTCCTGTCTTAGCATCATGCTGATACATGGCCTAGTTGTATTAAATACTTATATTAAAAATTACATTTATTTACCAGAATACAATTCACGATTTTTTTCACAAAATAATATAATATTGATGAATAAGGAACCTCCTCCTTTTGATTAAAAATATCACACTTGCGTGTCTTGAAATGTGTCCCATTTCATTGTAATATAGTTAAGACGTTCGCATTGCATTAACATCGAAATTCTCAGACCAATATAGCGTTACAATGGCAAAATCAAGACATTTTTAACAGATTTCTTAAAAGAGGAGGTTATCAATTCGGCCGGTATTATTTTTTCTTAAGCCATTCTTACTTAAATAAAACATGTTTCAACGGGTTAGATGCACTGATTTTATTTATTTACTAGTGGCCCGCCCTCGCTTCGCTTCGGGGAATAATTGTTCAAAATCCTTTCTTAGCGGATGCCTACGTCATAACATCTACCTGCATGCCAAATATCAGCCCGATCCGTCCAGTGGTTTGGGCTGTGCGTTGGTAGATCACTATGTCAGTCCGTCACCTTTGAGTTTTATATATATACTAGCGGACCCGACAAACGTTGTCCTGTCTACACGTCTTGGTGAATCTAAACCATTCTCAGATCCCCTTGAACACACACAAAAAATTTCATCGAAATCGGTCCAGTCGTTTAAGAGAAGTTCAGTGACATACACACTCACAGAAGAATTATATATATAAAGATAGATTGAAGTTTCGCAGCCTTTGCAGGAATGCATCGTCAGAATAATGATGTTTTATTTAGTTCGTCGAGCTACCTTCGCAAGCCTTTTATTGAGCGTTCGGATATTTCATTGGGAGATTTTTAAAACTTTATTGTCTATGCCATTCTTACTTACTTTTTCTGTAGGAAGTTGCTGAGCGTTTTAGTGTTTCTCATGAACAATACGTATTGACGATGTAACCACACCCACAACGCTGCTAGTAGGCCGCTCACCACACTGAAGAGGTAAAATTGAGATTTAAAAGACATTGAATTCAATACTTTGTTTGCAGTAGTGGATGTATTCTCAAAAACAAAATATGTATAAATTTAGGTATGATGTTATTAAAATATTGCAAAAAGACACATAGCATCTATATTTTTATGTATTAAACTTGCTCGAGGAGCTCGATGGCGCATGTGGTTAGCGCGTTCGGCTGCAATCGTTGAAGTTAAGCAACTGTCGCAGTGGTCGGTCATTGGATGGGTGGCCAAAAATTTACTATCTCGAGCTCCTCCGTGCTTCGGAAGGCACGTTAAGCCGTTGGTCCCGGCTGTATCTGCAGTCGTTAGCACCCACCAATCCGCATTGAGCGCGCGTGGTGGGTCATGGCCCTATCTCCCTATTCTATCCATAGGGAAGGCCTGTGCCCCAGCAGTGGGGACATTAATAGGCTGATGATGATTATAATGATGATTAAACTTGCTTAGTGTAGTTTTTTTTTATTTACTATATCAAATAGTGAAAAATATATATACCTAAAATATTAACGATTTGTTTATGAAAAAAAAATTAATTACTTTTTGTTTGTTAAAATTATAGTTAAGCACAAGGATTATGACAGTGTTAAGTTTACTCTCACTGGATGTAACATCAGCAAGGCACTATTTTTAATTAATAATTTGTGGATAATGTTGTGGATTACAATATTACTTTAGATTCTATGGTACCACATATGTATGGTACCAATAGTATTTGGTCGTAAAACACATATTGTAACCGTCTTTTATGCCTTAATATATAAAATAAAATTAAGACATTCATAAAAAATAAAAAGGAAAAAAAATTGTTAAATCTCACTTAGGTTTAGTATACTGAGGGAGACGGTAGATTAAGGTATTATAGGGTAGAGTAAGGTAAGTGGTGTAAAATTACCGTGAGGTAATGATATGAAACTACACTTTATTAATTTTGATTTATTGGAAGTTTTTTTTCTGAAAAACGAGGTGGGGGAGGTGATAAAAAGAATGGATGTAAGAACTCATTAGCAACATTCAACAGAAGTAACAACATTTACATAAAATCTATCTATATTTATTTCTATCTATACTTAATTAGAAACATTAATTCAAATTAAATATCGACCCTCCAAATTTTGATTGCTACGTCTTATAGTATAAATATAAATAGTTTTTATTAATATTAATTGGGTAGAATAAGGGTAGAGTAAGGTAGACCAAGGTAGATTAAGATAATCATCTCACCCTAGTAGTACGAATACGGCGAACTCCAGCGAGTCGTAGGGTAAGTCTTGGGGCAGATGCGTGGGAAGCAGCGGCTTTACTGTGAGCATCGCGGGGAGAGTGAGGTATATGAGGTAGAAGAAGGTAGGGTGAGGGTTGAGTAAGGAGGACCAAGAATAGGTCAGGCTATCGTAAGGTTGGTAAAGGTAGACTAAGGTAGAATGATACTAAGGTAAGGTATATCAGGGTAAAGCAACTTAAAATCAAGGTAGATTAAAGTAATCATCTCACCCTAGTAGTACGAAGACGGCAAACTCTTGAGGGTCGAAGGGGAAGTCCTGAGGCAGGTGCGTGGGGAACAGCGGCTTCACTGTGGGCATCGCACCCGACCATACGGAGAGAAGGCGGAACATCTAGTATAATAAGTAAATAAAATAAATAAATATTTCCAACACTCCCACCAACATTAGCCCAGCCCCAAAGTAAGCACTGAAAGGCTTGTGTTATGAGATGCTAGGGCAACGGATAGAATACATATACAGTACTTATATAAGTATATTTATATAGAAATACATATTAAACATCCATGACTGGAGTACAAATGCTCGTATTCATCACACAAACATCTGCCCCCATCGGAATTCGAAACCGGGACCTCTCGAGTCGGCGACACCATGAAACCTGGCGTACGAACCACTCGACCACGGAGGTCGTCAATATTCAAAATGACTTATTGATATGATAGCTCTTAAACAGACCACTTTTTACTACGAATGCTACAAACTCATCACCCATCAACAATATCTTTTGAATCAGCCAGTTATTAAATGAGTGATCAACAATTTATATCTCGAGCTCCTCTGTGCTTCAGAAAACCTGTTAAGTATTACACCGTGAATGGGAGCGTGCGTAATGAATTTTTTAAGCGGCGATACTAGCAAACCAGTGAACCAAATGTTCACCAAAACCTGATATAAAAAAAATGTATTTAATTAATTGAGAACTTCGTAGATTTTGTGTGGTTTCGTTTGAAATTCGTGATTTCTCGAAAACCGGAAGTGCTACGTTACTCAAATCCGGTTTGTAGTCTTATCAGACTATTCTTAACTTACAACTTAAATATTCTCTTTATCTATCTCTTACGGTTTGGCCGCTGAAACAGCACCACAGACAGACGGACGGACGGACGGCCGGACTTGTCTAATAGATAAGAGATATTAATAGGGTTCCTTTCGGGATGTTTTGAAACCCTAAAATGATAACATGAATGACACAAGACTTTCATTATGGAAGCCATACACACTACGAGAAATCGTTACGATCAGACTGTACAGTTCGAACGGAACAGTTTATCGTACCAAGGGCGGATCCGGCTTTGGCGCCAGGGGCCGGGGGGGTCATATAGCCAGCTTTGGCGCCAGGGGCGGGGGGGGTCATATAGCCAGCTTTGGCGCCAGGGGGGGGGGGGGGGTCATATAGTCGTGGTATATAAAATATTGAAAGTACTTAAATAAAATCCCCTTGGGTTTGGTCCATCTGTACCCAGCCCAGGGGGGGGTCATGACCCCCATGACCCCCCCCCCTGGATCCGCCCTTGTATTGTACGTGGCGTTTTATAACATACACGCTACGATTTATCGGTACCGTTCGAACTGTACAGTCTAATCGTAACGATTTCTCGTAGTGTTTATGGCCACTTTTATATCTGTAGAATAAATAAAAACTTTATTTTCTCGCCACAATCTTTTACATGCTTCATAGCTAACAGGATTTCATAGGATTATTAAAGTTACGAATAAATACACCCAGATTCAAGAATATCAGTTTTAAATGACAATTTGAATTAACTTTAAGTTCGCATTATTTATAACTAGCGGCTCGCCCTCGCTTCGCTTCGGTGTAGAGCTGAAGTGTAGACTACAGTTTTTGTTCCCAGGCTTGTATTATACACAATGACATTCATCTATGATTCTTCTTATACCTGCATGCAAAGTCTCAGCCCGATCGTTTTAAAATTGACAAAGTTTCATACAAACTTTCATTCCCTATTTTATCCCCTTGGGGGTAGAATTGATCAAAATCCTCTCTTAGCGGATGTCTACGTCATAACATCTACCTGCATGCCAAATTTTAGCCCGATCCGTCCAGTGGTTTGGGCTGTGCGTTGATAGATCACTATGTCAGTCAGTCACCTTTGAGTTATATATATATAGATAGAAGTTAGGAGATGATGGAGCTGTCATATCTTATGTATTAGGTAAAAGCCTCTAAATAAATAATATTGAAAAAAAACTTTGCCTATTTTGATGTTGTTAGAGAATGACAACACTTAATCTAATAAAACATAAAATTTATTTGACGTTTTTGTGTATGCTGTTATTAATTTTGTAATGACTCACAATAGCGCTGCAGCAGGCGGCGAAGAACCCTCTCCAATAATTCCTCACGGCGAAGTAAGTAGTCGTTACTTCAATTGAAAACAGCACGCCTGCAACAACAATAATATGCTTTATTACAAAGGCATAAGGATTAGTAAACTTGCCGATATGCTGAAGAGCAGACACACCCCCATATTTCTTAAGAGACTGGTGTATGAGCAATGTATTATTGCTGTGCTCATTTAGGGTGTCGAGACCTTAGCACTAACCAATATCGAATTCGAATAGTTTGCGAGTGCGAAATACCATTGTCTTTTTTCAAATTATTATTTTAAGGGACTTTTAGACCAAATTGTCCATACCGGCCCCATCGTAACCTAACCATACAATTTTCTTATAATACCATTGTAAAATTTTGTATGGAAACTTGAACAGTAGCGCCACAACGGACGTAACGAGAACTAAAAATCAGTACACATTTGACAATAACATTTTGGACTCGCAAATGTTACGAATTCGATTTTGGTTCGTGCTAAGGGTACTGTACCATTATCGAATAAGTAACGTTTGCGAGTGCTTAATGTCAATGTAAAATTTTGTCAACATCATATAGAGAGAGGTAATTTGCTCCTTCTCTAATAAAAAAGAAGAGTCCTTCTGTAATTCTAGGAAAGCTACTAAACTGTTAAAAAATCTACTAATATGGTAGAAAATAATTCTTAAGTGGTTGGAATTAGAAACCATGGACAAAGTGATTGGATTGAGTGATTTATGATACCAATCGTTTTTATAGCTTTTGTCTGCAAAATCGCTTTCTCAGTTTCCTCAATATTTATCCATCTCACACGACTCTCGTTCTGTCCAACCGTGTATGTGTAGAAACAACTATTGCCTACGACTGTATAAAGAACATTTATTTTTCTTCCTGATACGTTAGCAAAATATTACAAAATAGTGTAAAATTACCATATACTATAAAAAACCTATCAAAACCGTAAGAGCAATATACCAGTATTGTAGAAAAAAACTACCAAAATGGTAGAAACAACAAAAATGGTAGATATTTTCTACCAAAATGGTAACTTTTTTCTACCGCTACACTCACCGCCGACGGGCGCTGCGAAGCACGAGGCGACGCCGACGGCGCAGGCGGCCGCCAGCATGTCGCTGGTGCGCGACTCGTTGCCGTAGATGCCTTGGAACGTCGTCACCAACTTCGAGAGCAGGGAGGCTACCATGGAAGCGATGTGGACTGATGGACCCTGCGAGTGAGCACAAATTCAGTATCAATAGAAGACTAGGAAAAAATGTGAGCCGTGACGGGACGCCTGACAGATGTCAAACACTAGCGGGTTTACGATAAATACAAGTTTTATGTTACGCATTGGTTGGACGCAGAGGGTCGGGAACGAAACCGTGCTTCAGCGCGTTCATATGTCCCGGAAAATGTTGCCTTCTATCAAAAAGCGCAAGATAGAATATCTTGGCCACGTGCTCAGGAACAACAGATAGATACATGCTGCTCCAGTTGATAATGATGGGCAAAGTGGACGGAAAGAGACGTGCTGGGCGAAGAAAGAAGTCATGGCTCCGGAATATCCGGGAGTGGACCGGTAGTGCCTCCGTCGAACAGCTGTTCCGGCTGGCTGCTGACAGAACTACATACAGGAAGCTAACGGCCAACCTTCAGGACTGAAGAGGCACTGGAAGAAGAAGAAGAAGACGAGTTTTTGGCGGGATTTCATCGAGTGCGGTTGGCGTCTTATTTTAATTATTCTTAAATTTGTTCATAGTGATTTGTGAAATAAAATTGGTGTGATTTTTTGTTACAACCGTCTGCACAAGAATTAGTGGAATCTTTAAAATATACGCTATTCCGGTCAAGTGGAAGTGAGAATTTTATTGTAGTATTGACTACCTCACAGAAGCTTATCGAAAAAGCTAACTCGATATATTTCGTGCCAAACACTCCAAGAAGCATAAGAATGTGTCACACCCACATTCTAATGTTAAAAGGAAGATTAATACTAAAATAAGACGAAAGAGAAGAATAGGACTAAAAAAAATTACGATAAATATAATCGGAGAATCGCTCGGGATGCGTGCGGTAAAAAATGACATAGGTCCTTCCTTGAAGGGTGCTGACGCCGTACTGATCGGTGGGTAGTTGTAGTTGAGCACTGGTATACAGGGCGTCCCACGGCGACCTCATACGGAGGGAAAGTATATTAAATATTGATGATAGGATATTTTAATGAAAGAAAACATCTTAATCATCCTTTCGATGGTTATAATAAAATATGTCATGATTTTTTTGTCAAAATTTTACGAGTTTGATTCCCGGTTAAGGCAGTCAATTTTTAAAAAATCTGTGGATGCAGTTCTAGTTACTATTAAAAATAAAATGATGTCTTCTTTCAGTAAAATATCCTATCTTCAATATTTAATATACTTTCCCTCCGTGTGAGGTCACCGTGGGACGCCCTGTATATTGCATTTTACGGGTGAGCGTCGCCACACCAGAAACGTGCGTTTTACGTGCGCCAAAAGATGTTTCACATCAAAAAATCCACTTGGTCGCTTGCCTAAGCCGTCGTCCTAATTAGCAACGATCGTGCGATGGCGCGATGCGATCTCAAACCCCACGACAACAGCTAACTAGAGCCGAGGTCCGAGTCTCAGAGAGGCCCTCTAGTTGAGCCGACCCCCTCAGGTGCTCGTGGTCTAGAGGCTCCAGACGGAGAGGAGACTCCCCCCGTGGGGAGATGCCATCCGCCTGGAATACCTCTAGAGGCACTCGCCAATTTTCAGCTTGAGGTCCCCTTAGGATCTCACCGTCCCCAAACCCGGTAACGCTGTAAAGGTCATCTGCGACCAACAGCATACACACTCCGATCTTATCGTGCGATGATAATAATGTACCTGTATTAAGGACACTACCAAATTCGAGGAGGATTCGAGGAGCTCGATGGCGCAGGTGGTTAGCGCGTTCGGCTGCGATGGTTGAAGTCAAGCAACTTTCGCAGTGGTCGGTCATTGGATGGGTGACCAAAAACATCTATCTCGAGTTCCTCCGTGCTTCGGTAGGTACGTTAAGCCGTTGGTCCCGGCTGCATCTGCAGTCATTAGCAAGCGTGGTGGGTCATGGCCCAATCTCCCTATTCCATCCATAGGGAAGGCCTATGCCCCAACAGTGGGGCCATTAATAGGCTGATGATGATGATGGAAGTAAAAGCCACCGAGCTATTTACTGATTTAGGTCAGTTGTTTCGTATGCGACATTTCTGTATGCGTTAAATCTAGTTTTAGTTTAATCGAGATTAAGCAAATTTGAGCCTTACTGCTTTATTATAACGCCACTAAGATACTTGTCCTGAAAAGCATCGATGGGTATGCAATTTGCACTTTCCTTACACTGAGTTACATACTGTAAATGTAAAAAAAATGTGAAGAAACCAGTTATAAGACAGTATTCGAACCTGCGTTTCCGCTAGCCGGGCGGAGGCACTGGCCAAAATCGTTAATATGTATTTAGTGAAGGCTGTGAGTCCAGTCTTTTAAGTATAAAATAAAAGCTTGTAAAAAATTATGTTAACCTCAGAAAGAGAGATAATAACCTGAAAATTCGTACTTATACCAACGATATGAAATACCCTAGATACATCACGTGCGCTCAAAATGTGTCCCTATTAAGAAGTGCTTGAACACTACTCTAGCACTTCTTGGTTCACAGTCACGGGCGGACCGTTGAAAAGTCAACGGCATGCTGAGCTGCGTGAAAAAATGCGAAATAAAAACTTAAAGTATTTAAAATGTCGTTTTTACGAATTTTTTCTAGTTATATTTTCTTTAGATTTAAACATCAAGCAGTTACATGCTTTAAAAATAATAAAAATTATAACTATAATTGCTATTTCTTCTTTCAAATGTTTAATACTTGTAAAAGTATTCATTTGACATTGTGGATTTACCTAAAATGCGAAGAGATGGCGCTGCCTTGCAGCTTAAGAATAGCTAGAAAGAATTTCGACGCGGTCCGTGAGGGCCGCGATAGCATAATTGGTCAGTGCATTCGCCCGGATTGCGAAGGGTGCGGGTTCGAGTCCCGTCTGCTGCCTGGTCCGCGTGGAATTTTTTCTAGTTATATTTTCGTTAGATTTAAACATCAAGCAGTTACATGCTTTAAAAATAATAAAAATTATAACTATAATTGCTATTTCTTCTTTCAAATGTTTAATACTTGTAAAAGTATTCATTTGACATTGTGGGTTTACCTATAATGCGAAGAGATGGCGCTGCCTTGCAGCTTAAGAATAGCTAGAAAGAATTTAAACGCGGTCCGTGAGGGCCGCGGTAGCATAATTGGTCAGTGCATTCGCCCGGATTGCGAAGGGTGCGGGTTCGAGTCCCGTCTGCTGCCTGGTCCGCGTGGAATTTTTTCTAGTTATATTTTCTTTAGATTTAAACATCAAGCAGTTACATGCTTTAAAAATAATAAAAATTATAACTATAATTGCTATTTCTTCTTTCAAATGTTTAATACTTGTAAAAGTATTCATTTGACATTGTGGGTTTACCTATAATGCGAAGAGATGGCGCTGCCTTGCAGCTTAAGAATAGCTAGAAAGAATTTCGACGCGGTCCGTGAGGGCCGCGGTAGCATAATTGGTCAGTGCATTCGCCCGGATTGCGAAGGGTGCGGGTTCGAGTCCCGTCTGCTGCCTGGTCCGCGTGGAATTCAATGTTTTTTAATTTAACGCATTTGCAAATATTGTTTTAATACTTACTATAAACTGTTTAATAGAAAATACTTGTGATATTAAAATGCATGGTCGGTAATACAGCCGTCTCTTTTCCTCGCGGTACCTGCTATATTGCTAACAGCGCATTCAGAACTGCGCGTAGAGTCAAAGAAATAAGGTCTATTCTTCCGCATATAGCAATAAGTGGTAAAATTTTACGAGCTTACATTTCTAATTGTCATCACTCTTTAAAGCATGCGTTTTAATCAAGACCTTATACAGTGTGCTTTAAAGGTGATTTCGAATGTTTAAATAATGCCTTATATTGTTTAGACTACGCGATCTTCTTACGGAGCTCCTTGGAGCGTCCAATGTACCTTTTGGACAGGCTTCGGGTATGATTTTGTTCGTGTTGGTGTATCTAGGGTATTTAATATCGTATACAGTTTCATTTTAGCTTTTTTAAAGTTGCCTCACAAGCCACTCTTTTAAGCCTCTTCTCATGAGACGAGTGATATAGTAAATTATATATAAAAAGAAACAAACTCAGTTAACACGACCGACAAACAAAAATATAAGATCAAAAGCTCATTGCTTGAATGGGCTTTTGTCACTTAAGAGGTGGAACATAAACGATGGAATTACCTCTTTACCCAGTGGCAGACCAGAGCCCAGCGTGGCGGTCAGGCCGATAACCTTGGATATGAGCGCCCGGTACGTCAAGTACTCTTTCAAATGCACCCCTCGAAGTATAGTCTTCATTTCAGGTATACCAGACCCTGGGAAGAAGATTAGAGAAGCATTAACATTAGGAAACTGGGAAACATTTTACAGCGCAATTGGTTTTATATGCGTTAGAGAAAGTAAAGCAAATTTCGCAATGCCTGGTCATCGGATTCTTAGGACGGCACGTTAGAAGCCGTTGTATAAATGCATCTGCAGTGGTTTGGACCCACCAATATTGAGTTCGCGTGGCGTGCCAAATCTCCCTTTTCCACTAGCAGTGAGGATATTGAAGGGCTGATCTTCAACCGGTCCGAAGACTTTATTCTATTTGAAATATTTCTTCGAAAGTTTTAATGAGCAAAACGAAATATTTGTGCTTTTATGCTACGTTTCCACTTAAGCTCAGAAAAGTTGTGAACGAGCAAACATAAGCTCGCTCGGCAAATGGAAACATCAGAGCGAGAGAACGAGTTTGTGTAACGATGTTTGACTGAACTCAGGGAACGAATGCTAAGGGAGCATCTCAGTCATCAATGGGAACAACTCAACATTGTTTTGAGCATTCCATTTACCGAGCGACCAAATATTTGAGAACTGCTCTGAGTACTAGATGGAAATTGGGCAGCATTACTGTTAATATGGCTGTTCTCTGCTAATGAGAGAGCTCAGGATCATCGATAAATCAATTTGGTTTCCAGCCTTTGTATCCGGTCAAAAGGAGGGAGCTGGTGTTTGGGTGCTCCAGCCCAGAGGTGAGAGCAGTGTTGTATGATAACCATTGTAAACTCATGTTGGTTAAGCTGAACAAATAGATTTTCTTTCTTCTGCCTTTCTTACCTTTACTCTGTGCTGTGAACATCTGCACGAAGCCAGCCGCGAACAGTATACAGCCGTAGACATACGGGCAGTGAGACCCACGCGAGATGCTGGCGGCAGGGCGAAGTCGCCAGATCATTGTACATCCACATGCGAGCTGGAATCGATGACATGTCGCCAGTAGTATTCCTTACCTATACTCTGCGCTTGGACAATGTGCACGAAGCCAGCTGCGAATAGTATCAGGCTAGATAGAGGTCGCCAGATCCTTGTAAATACCCATGCGAGCTGGAATCGATGTCATGTTGTCAGCAGTATCCTTACCTATACTCTGTGCTGCGAACGTCTGTACGAAGCCAGCCACGAAAAGTATTAGGCTAGATAGAGGTCGCCAGATCCTTGTAAATCCACATGCGAGCTGGAATTGATGTCATGATGTCAGCAGTATTCCTTACCTATACTCTGTGCTGCGACAATGTGCACGAAGCCAGCCGCGAATAGTATCAGACACACGGGCAACGAGACCCACGCGATGTACTGGCTGAAGGTTGAAGTCGCCAGATCCTTGTACATCCACATGCGAGCTGGAATTGTTAATAAGATATGTAGCAATTTTGAGGAGTCAAGTTATGGGGCCCTTGCGCAGGCGCAGGCGCTTGGAACTATATTGTTTTAACTTTATTTCTGTTGTAACTAGTGGACACGATAGATGTCCTGCTGAAGAAATTAGAAAAAATATTAAATACGAACTGCGCTAAAAAGTGGATCCGCGTAAACTGCGATCAAACGCCGATTATGGGATTAGTTTGGATTTCCGTTTAATATTATCTTAACCAATTGATGGATAGCCAAATTCATTTGCAGATATTTGATTTGTCAAAGTATTTTGTTTTGTCTGTGTGCGTGTCGCGTTAGATTTTTTTTTATTTCTTGAAACGTAGGTTACTGTTTACATGGTAGGTATATAAAATGTTTGTTAATATCATATATTTCCACCTTAAATAAGGTATACAAATAGATATGGGCCTTGAAATAGGCACTATTATTTTGGTTACATTTAAATCACAATTTATGAATATAATTTGAAATAGTCTATTGTTACATGCATGTCAAAGTAAATTATAAATTTGATACGCCATAAAGTTGTCATACTAATAGTCAAAATTTAAATGGAAAAATAAGTAAAATGTCCAAAATAGCAACAAATACACATTTCTGAACTGGATTGTCAATGTCGATTAATATGTATAACTTATTTAATAAAGAAATGCTTTTATACAGACATTACACGATTTAATTACAGGATTTGTCATTTAAAATTTTCTCAAACAGACGCTTCATACTTAGTATTGCAGTTTACTTATATTGAGTTTAGAACCTTAGATTAAAACAAAAAGGGTAGATACGGCACTAGCCTCACAAAAGTGATCCGCACTAATTGTGGTCCACGACCCTAATCGCTTTAGTCACAACTTGACATGCAAACGACGTACAAGTGAACGCCAAAAAGTTATATTGCTAATATTTTGTGTTTATATGATAAAACAATGCCTAAGTGTGTTTTTAAAAAGTGCTCAAATTGCTCAAGAACTAAAAATAAAACCCACGGCATCACTTTTCATTCGTAAGTACTATAAAATATTTTTTTTTTCATAAAAATTGCTGTTTGTGTAGAATCTTATTCGGTAGTGACGTCGAGTACTGGTCGCGTGATTGGTCGGTAGTGCAGTGACGCGGATCGCGCCGTCTCGTTCGCGCTGCTGTTGAAAGTTAACGTGCTGTTTCGTTCGGGTCGGTAATGCAGTGACGCGGTTCTCGCCGTCCCGTTCGCGCTGCCGTGGGATCAGTTTTTGTTTGATGCAAGTATAAGCGTACCGTATCTACCCTTTTTGTTTTAATCTAAGTTTAGAACTATGTTTGAGCTGTCTTAGTTAGAGAGTAATGATTCCATATCATAGGTATATAATTCGTTGGTCCTGCTCGACATTTTTTTTAAATCCTAAAACCCGACTGCAGCTTTACCTAGGGTAGAGTTTTAAGTTATATTTTCAATTTTTCTGTTCCATTCTCTTATAATTTTTCGGGACTCATTTCTAACAGATTTCACTAAAACACTCTAAAATTTAAGAAATGACACAAGTTTTTAATTATAATTAATTAATGATCAAATTTACATTTTTTAGGAAGCAGTAAATCGCAACTGAAATGTATCAGACATGCATTGTCAAATGTTGGACAAATTGATTGTAAAGCAACTGTGCTGTCATTGTGAAGTTATAGACGGAAGAAGTATAATGTTCATAAAATTACCTGCTTATGTCCTTCTGGAGCGTAAAATAATAAAAAAAAAGTTATTTTCGTTTGGTTAATAATACGAGACGAGTATTCCGTAAATTAGAAGCAAATTTACAACAAGGTTCAAAGTCTCCGATTGATACGACAGGCAATTATTGCCTGAATCATCAAAAACTATGTTTGCGATGATCACAATGATACGAAACAAGTGACTAATTTCCTTACAGTCAAAACAATGAAAAAACATACTGCGCTAATGAGATCAATTTCATATACAGGCTGTAATATAGTGATGAAATTCTGGTCCTTTTCCGAAACAATTTCGCATTAGGTTGCGGGATGTTGCTAGGATAAGATGTCGCATAAAATAAAAGACAACAAGATAACATTACTTATTTTCTAATTTAACATACCCTGTCCTGTCCCGTATAGTAAAATGCGTAGAATTCATAATATAACGCAAGAATTTGAAAAAAAATATAGACAAGTACAGGTCGGGGCACGTAACTCCAGCGCCGAACAAAACGCTGGGGGGATAGCTGCGCATGGGTACGACTGGAGAGCCAATCGGCGCAACGCACGCCCCCCCGCGCACCTCGTTTCCGCCCAACACATCTTAATTTTTACTTCTGCGCAATAACGGTCAGCGCTAGAGTTTCGTGCCGCGATTTATATGTTGTTGGGCGCATCACTGCGCTCTTTAATAAATTTTAAGAACTTTTATATTATTGAACGAAGCTTGGCCACTGTTCTCGTCCTTATACGAATCAGTCTCTATAACTTTGAGAGTACCCTTATGGCCAGAGGCGTCCCTTCACGGCTGTGGTTTAGTCAGTAACGGTCAATGCAAAAACAATTTTAAATGAAATGCCTTGAAGCTTAAGAAAGAATTCGACACGGCCTTCAGGTCCGCGGTAACATAATGGTCAGTGCATTCGCCCAGATAGCGAAGGGTTTCGAGCGGGTTCGAGTCCCGTCTGCTGCCTGGTCCGCGTGGAATTTTTCTAGTAATAATTTCTTTAGATTTAAAGATTAAGCCGTTACATCCCTAAAAAGTAAAAATTATAATGAAATTATTTATTTGCATTTATTCAAATAAAGGCTTCATATCAAATCATTTCATCTTTGTTAATTGATTATAATCAAATATAGGTAGAATGAGCCTTAATAGTTTAGACGAAGAATGTCCTTGGCATAACAAGGTTAAAATTCACAATTCATTTATTCATTTGTACAAATGCTGTACAAACATAAAGGTTGCAATATCAGATAAGTTTTGCACATTAGTTTTTTAATTTTATTTAAAAAGTTTGGTGCAAGTTTGTTACTTATTAGGACCTAGTTACCCCAAATGAAATAAAATAAACTCACCATTATTGCATATAGCGATGCCCCTGTCCATGGCGAAGTTGAGCACGGCCATGATGATGCCCAGGAGCGCCAGGAACACCCAGTCCTCGCCCAGCCTCGCGAACGTGTGCCGCCATACGTAACCTGCCACACACTTCACATCATTCCCCTAAAGTGCACCATGGGGAATCTACAGATCCATTCAATACCTATACTCATCAAAAGGGTTTAAGCAACACGAGCTTTTGACCGATTATTAATATAAATAAATAAATATTTCCAACACTCACATCAATTAGCCTAGCCCCAAAATAAGCACGGTAAAGCTTGTGTTATAGGATACTAGGGTAACGGGTAGAATGCATATACTGTACATATAAAAGTATATTACAATAGAGATACATATTAAACATCCATGACTGGAGTACAAATGCTTATATTGATCACACAAACATCAGACTTTTATTGAGCGTTCGGATATTTCATTGGATTTTTTTAACCCGTCAAAACCCGTAAATCTAACGCGTTAAAACTTGTTTCATTTTATATTATGAATGATGTGCGTGAAAATCTAAGGAACCAATATATTTAATACCGATAAAATAAAATATCAACTGATAAAACTTCTGTTTGAGTAAATGATGCATGTTGCTTATACTTTTTTGATGTGTGTATTGGTGTCGCCGCACACGGGCCACACGCCACAGCCACGAGAAGCTAGAAGCGCGCGAGTAACGTGTGGCGGCGCTCCGCGTTTTGTATCGGCGCATTAAGTGGCCGGTGCGGGCCACAAGAAGCGAGCAACGACGATTTGTAGCGTGTGGCGGCCACCGGCGTACCGTGTGTGGCGAGTCCATATAAAATGTATGAAAACTACAAGAAATATGCCGGTGGCGGCATTTTGTGGTTGTGGTCGGTGGCCCGTGTGCGGCGACACTTATAAATAGGGGCCTCCCGTAACTTCGTCCGCGTCAACTTTAGCTGTATGAAAATCCCTCGGGAAACAAAACTTTTCCGGGATAAAAGGTATCCTATGTCTCAATCCAGGTCATAAACTATATCCGTACCAAATTTCATCCAAATCCGTTCAGTAGCTTTTGTGTGCTTCTGTAACGTGTGTTGACGGTTATAGTATTATAGTAGGATGCGAAAGTGCGTCTGTCTGTCTGTTACCTCTTCAAGCATAACTGCTGAAGCGATTTCGATGAAATTAGTTAAAGATATAGTTTGAGTCCCGGGAAAGGACCTAAGATAGTTTTTAATCCAGAAATCGAAAACGGCGAGGGCGGAAACAATGTATACGAAACCTATTTTTTCACGCAGACGAAGTCGCGGCACCCGCTTGTATTAATATATCTGAGAAACTCATAAAACTCATAGAAGATTTGCGTAATGAAGGGTCTTACTTAACTTGTATATTATTTTCAAATATACGTGACGTGTATACTTAAATCAATATTTCATTTTTACTTCGAAATCAAAAATATCAAAACAGTTAATCAAATCAACCCTGCCATTAGAGATGCATAGCTAGAAACTGATTTTGGAAAAGAACTGGGGGCCATTCGCCTAACGGAAATGCTTTGGAAAACGCTAACGCTTACAATTTCATTTTGTTATTTCTAGCCGCCTGAGGTTTTCAAATGCCTCGCGCTCTTTTTTTTCTTTTGCATTGGTAATAACAATATTAAAAAAAATGAGCGTGAGGTATTTGAAAACCTTCGGCGGTCAGAAATAACAAAATAAAATCGAAAGCGTTAGCGTTTTCCAAAGCATTTCCGTTAGGCGAATGGCACCCTGTTCAGCCCATTAGTTTTTAAATGCAAAATTAATTTGGCAAACGGAAAACACATTCGCACGTCTCGTTAGAAAGTTAAGATGAATTAGTAAACATTGTAATCGCATTTCATTCGGCAGTTGAGAAAGCTTGATTCGATTCGATTTATTTGTTTAGCTTGCTTAACCATTCATAGAAATATGCAGCGAAATGGAAAAACAAATACACAAAGAATTCAAATGTCTCGGTATAAAAAAAAAGTCTGCTTATGACCACACGACTGAAGTGAAACTTCTTTACCTCCATCTGTTTATATATATATATATACTAGCTGACCCAGCGAACTTCGTACCGCCCTAAAAAATAGGGGTTGTCCAGCGGACAAAATTGTGAATCTAAACCATTCTCAGATCCCCTTGAACACGCACAAAAAATTTCATCAAAATCGGTCCAGTCGTTTAAGAGAAGTTCAGTGACATACACACTCACAGAAGAATTATATATATAAAGATACTACTTGCTTATACCCCCACTCAACTCCCGTTCGCCTCGCCCGAACACACTTTTCGTAACGCGTAATGCATTCGCTAGCTTACCCCCCAAGTCAAGCGTGCGTAAAGAAGTTTCACTTCAAAAAAAGGTTTTTTTTTGAGTGTGTGTGTGTGCTGTTGGTCGCAGATGACCTTTACAGCGTCACCGGGTTTGGGGACGGCGAGATCCTATAGGGAACCTCAAGCCGAAAATTGGCGAGTGCCTCTAGAGGTATTCCAGGCGGATGGCATCTCCCCACGGGGGGAGTCTCCTCTCCGTCTGGAGCCTCTAGACCACTCGAACCTGAGGGGGTCGGCTCAACTAGAGGGCGTCTCTGAGACTCGGACCTCGGCTCTAGTTAGCCGTTGACGTGGGGGGACAAAAAAAGGGTATACGGGTCCCGTATACAGCTGTAACTATTTATTAGTTGCTTTTGTTGTGCCTTGTTTAAGTAAAGAGTAAGTCAGCAACGTTTTTCCCTTTAAATATTATATATGCTTCCGGACACATCTAACGTCCCGTCGCAAAAATACAGGTTGCAATAATAATATATTTAAAAAAAACACACGAAAAAGATGCTTAATAAATCAGCTTTAAAACTGCGTTAAAACTTTTTGATCCCTCATCGGCATCAGCCTATTAATGGCCACTGCTGGGTCACATGCATTCCCTATAAAGGGAATAGGGAGATTGAGCCATGGCCCACCACGCGGGGTGGTTTTATCAATGTAAAATTTTATTTTTAGCTAGAGAACGGCAAATCTTATAAAGCTATGTAACTAGGTGGCCCGATAGATGTGTCCGGAAGCATATATTTTCGGTACAGTCACATAAGAAAAAACGCCGTAACTAAATTTATGGCAACTTTTTGTTGAAGTTATATTGCTATTCATACTTGCAAAAATGTTCGATACTTTAAGTTAGAATCCTCGAATAGAAAATGCTGTATTTTCCTTGTTAGAATTATACCAATGAGGAAGTCCTGTACCCTAGCAATGGGGACATTAATATGTTAAAGAAGACATTATCATGTGAAATTAGTCCTATCAGATAGATTTTCAAAAAGCATTGAACAAGTTTTTTTATTATTGACACAATCAAAACATTACAGGGATATTGATTTGAAATGTCGCATGACGTCACATCTTGGTACAATTTTTAACTTAGCAGTGACGTCACTAGCAATACATTGATGTGCTTTATCTTTGTAATTTTTCGGTTTCGGAAAAAAAAATAATATTATAGCTATTAACGGGATTGTTTCCATGTACCTTGTTTTCTATGAGTCTCCGATATTTCGGCACTGTTACAAGCGCCATGATCACGGAGTAACTGTGATCATAAAAAACAAGGTACATGGTAACAATCCCGTTAATAGCTATAATGTTAGTGACCATGAAAGTTGAAAACCATGAAAAAAAATAAGTGCGCATTATTTTTTGAAAATCTAACAGACGGACTGCATACTTAGAACGTCGTTTATTATACCCCGTCATCGCTACTATTTTTAATGGATGTGTTGTATTAAAGTTTCATGATCACTGGAATCACAATAATTAGCAGGACCGCTATCATGTGATTCATTATCATAGCACTTGCAACAGTGTCGATATATCGGGGACTTACAAAAATTCCCAATCCCTATAAGTATTCTAACGGCCAGCCCCTCTAGCATGATCACCAAAACGGAATATGATAAAGCGATATATCGAAATTAACTGTCAGACTACTGTCAAACTCCATAGTAGTCTGGTATTAACTTATATACAATATATATATATATATATATATATATATATATATATATATATATATATATATGTATATATTACTGATGTAATGATTTTTTATAAAACGAGTGTTGGAATTGTTTTTATGTTATGAATAACTTCTTGTCGACTTACGCTACTTTCACACGAAGACTACATAAAAATGCGTAATAAAGCTAGTTAAAAAATAATAAAATCGAAAATGGCAAAAGCAGAAATGGTCCATACAACAACAAGGCTTTACAAAGTGGTCGAATCCAGCGTGGGTCATAACAAAAAACAATGTAGACGTGGTCCTTAAACGTCTGACCCATTGGAACTGGTCGTAAATGTTCAACGGTAATGTCTTCTTTCTTTTGCTGTACTGTAGCTGTACTCACCTAGAATCTTGAAGAACTTCCCCCTGGGTCTATGCTTGCCCGTAGACTCGAGCTCCTTCTGCCTTAGCTTGTCGTCTTTCCGCCTCTTCTTGCGGAGTCTGCGCAGTCGCCTGGCTTCCTCTCTGGCCGCCTCGCTTAAATCGCGCTGGTAACGACCATACATCTGGAAAGGAAGAGATGGAAATACTGAAAAGTCTGAAACAATTTCTTTGTACAAATTAACCAATCCAAAAGGTTCATAGAGTGGTAGAAAAGTATATATCAAGCCATCTTGAACTGAACTCAATCCACTGCAACGTAAGTCACCAACAGGAACACAACTATCTGTCTGTCTTCTTAGTTGAATTAAGTAAACTACACTATAAAACAGGTTATTTCTTTGCGGTATATTATGCCATTTATTTCTGATACTTATAAAAAAATCGTGTTCCCTCCCTCTTACAACCTGGGATCCTTTAAAAGAGGCGTGAAGAAGCAACATGCAGGCCGGCAGGGTGAAGATGGCTGGTGTGGCAGGTAAAACTGCTGTATCAGCTATCTTCACGTCTGGACTTCACCTTCACTTAACATCAGGTGGGGTGGAGTCATTTGTCAAACTTATATATTTTTATATAAAAAAGCCTTAATTTAATGCTGTATATGATAAATAGGTTTATAGCTATAAATTTGTAGAAAACTTGAATAGCGGAAGGCACAATCAGAAGACTTATCATAGCTTTTTATTTTCTACGCAACTTTTAATAAATAGTTTCAACATCAGCGTTTGTGCCTATCGCTTCATAGGTATCATCGCACACACCTCTTCACTTTAAGGATACCTTTTCATCAGAATCAAATACCCTTACTGGAAAATACCAAGAAATTTGACTCCTATTAGGGGATTTGCATAGCTTGCGCTACTTCATCAGCCAAATAATGCTCCCACAGTTGGAGCACGTAGACCTTCACTATGGAAGGAATAACTATATTGGGCCATGACCAATATACCTTTTTTTTGTCTGTGAAATGCTTGACGCATCCTTCAACCACCGGGGGAGCGAGAAGAAGGTATGTGGGACTCCTCTCTGCTCATTTCAGCCAGCCCTTAGGCCTAACGCCCTGAACAGGGCCACTAAAAACCAGACAATACTCCTGCACCGGTCACCCGGCGTACATTCTGAGGACCGCAGTCCCCCCAATGCACGCCGGGAGTGCGGGTGTGGTCGCGGCAACCGTTGCCGACTGTCCGCGCATGACCAATATACCTACACCACGCGCCCAGACCCGTCCTTCTCAGTGGGCACTTTGGGAAAGTGCCCAGGGCCCCGCGATCGATAGGGCCCCACTTCAGATCAAATACAAAGTCCCTAATTCCTGTTAGATCACCAAACGGGAGTCATAGGGGCCCCATTATCCTAATATGCCCAGGGCCTTCTATAGGTCAAAGACGGCACTGCACGCGCCATTTACCCCTTCATTTCGTGTATAAATAGCTTTAACCTTATCAATTTTTCGTTTACATACCAAACTCCGCCATACTTCTTCAACCACCTCCATAGACTCACCACAATCACGGATATCGGGCAATAAACTGATCCCCTATTGCTCTCATTATCATTAATTAGCTTTGTGTATTGTTTGCGGGAGCTATCACCTAATCTCATCTCATGTTTAGCTAAGATAACCGAGGCTGATCGGCTATGTAATTATTTATTGTGCTAAATCTGTTTTTGTCGGAACTTGTACTGTCGCAATATAAACAGCATTCCGAGTGTAGAGTCTTTTTTTATAGATAGGTCCGACAAATGACTCCAGCCCACCTGATGTTAAGTGAAGGTGAAGTCCAGACGCGAAGATAGCTGATACAGCAGTTCTACCTGCCACACCAGCCATCCTCACCCTGCCGGCCTGCATGTTGCTTCTTCACGCCTCTTTTACAGGATCCCAGATTGTAAGAGGGAGGGAACACGTGAGTGGGCAGAGCATTCCATTTACGTATAGTGCGACAAAGAAATGAGTCACCAAATTTCTTTGTATGCGTTGGAATTGTGGTCACAGTTAGACAGTGACAACGTAGGCTAGCGCGCGTGGTCCTCTGAAGGAAAGAGGAAGGTGGCATATGAGAGAATAACTCCTCAGAACACTCGCCGTGGTACAGACGATAGAAAACGCTTAGTGACGCCACGCTTTAGTCTTTGTAACCTTTGATAACGCTGGTACGAAGAGCAAAGTTTAACCTTCCCTTTCTTCCCGATAGATAGAATATAAAGAACAGGATTGGAGGGTGCACTCGGGCTTAAAGGCTTTCCGTGTACTCAAAAGCACGGGGGATATTTCTAATCACCCATACTTAACCTTTAAACCTACTAACCTACCTTCTCTATTTGCTGTGCCCTGTTCAGGGTCTACAATAATAAAAGAAATGTACTTACTAAGATTTAAGAAAACATTGTAGAACGCAATAAAGTATTGATTGATAACCTTTACACACTTTTAAGCGCGCTACCGTTCAGAAAACTTATTTGTGCCAATTATATGTTTTTCTTTAGATTAGACCTATACGATCAACTTTTGATAATACGCCATTAAAATCTGCTAGAGTCTAATACGATACAAATTGCAGGTTGATTTTTTTGCTCTAACAAAACAACAGACATCTCGAGGCAATTTTACGATGCTTGCGTGATTTAAAAGCATATCAAATTGGAAAAAGATCATCAATTGTAAAAAATATGACATTACACATAAACACACTTAGAGGAAATAAGGAAATACTCATGCATGGAAATTGTCTTGTGTAACCATTCGATTTCAAGTAAATAATGATCACGGAGTTACGCCGTGATCATGACACTTGCAACGGTGCCAAAATATCGGGAACACGCAAAAAATACCCACTAATTACGCAAATTACAATAGTGTTAGTGACTATGAACAGTACCCTTAGCATGAACTAATAATGAATTCGTAAGAAATACAAATTCTTTATTTGATACAATAATTTCCGATACAGTATTGCGATTGCGAATTTCTTTTAAGAAAATATATACTTGTACTAGCTGACTCGGCGAACTTCGTACCGCCCAAAAGTAATAATTTGCAATAAATTAAAATTGCGACTATAATTTGAGATTTAAACTATCCTATCTCTCAAGTTGGATCGAACTGCACATGGTGTGCGAATTTTATTATAATCGGTTCAATGGTTTAGGAGTCCATTGAGGACAAACATTGTGACACGAGATTTATATATATTAAGATTAGAAATTCCTGCTCTCCGTGCTAAAAGACATGGTACATTGAATTATTGATCACCTTAAATGTAACGTTTGCGAGTCCTAAATGCCATTGTCAAATGTGTACTGATTTTTAGTTCTCGTTACGTACTATGTGGCTCTGCTGTTTAAGATTCCATACAAAATTTGAAATTTGAATAGTTCGAGCTAAGGGTACTGCAGCATGTCTGCACTCGTTATCAGTACCTCAGTAGAGTAAAAAACGGTGTGGCTTTAGACAGCGACTTTCTCTATGTATATAATAAAAACCTTAGAAAAATAACTATAAAGACGAAACTGTTTCTAAGACAGGGCTACGCACGGAAGGGCGGGATGTCCGCAGACACTAGTAGAGGTCTGCAGCAACATCCGGGGACTGCTGGGCTTTTCGGAGGAGCTGGGATGGCAGGACTGATGCCAATCCCCACGCAAAAAAGGCACTGGGTGTCGAGTTGCGGAAACAGCCCGCCATACTACTAAACCTAAGACAGGGCTACGCACAGTCAAATCTATATATATACTCGTATATAAAACTCAAAGGTGACTGACTGACTGACATAGTTATCTATCAACGCATAGCCCAAACCACTGCACGGATAGGGCTGAAATTTGGCATGCAGGTAGATGTTATGACGTAGGCATCCGCTAAGAAAGGATTTTGATCAATTCTACCCCCAAGGGGATAAAATAGGGAATGAAAGTTTGTATGAAACTTTGTCAATTTTAAACCGATCGGGCTGAGACTTTGGATGTAGGTATAAGAAGAATCATAGATGAATGTCATTGTGTACAATACAAGCCTGAGAACAAAAACTGTAGTCTACACTTCAGCTCTACACCGAAGCGAAGCGAGGGCGGGCCGCTAGTATTTGATATTTTTAAATCATATCGGAAAACGCTTGGACGCAGGTTTGCCTTGTCAAGTTTTTAGGGTTCCGTAGTCCTGATAAGGGACCTTTATAGTGTCCGTCTGTCTGTCCATCCCCGGTTTTGCTTGGAGACTGTTAGCACTAGAGAGCTGTAATTTTGCGGAAATGTGAATATCAGTCGATAATATCTTAAACATGATATCCAAAAATGGGCTTCATCGGAGAAATATATATTTTTAACAATTTAAACGGTTTTTTTTTTGCTATTTCAGTTCCCCTGGTCACTAGTTAACAATAAAACGTTATTGGTTATTGAATCGCAATATGTCATAATTCATAATGCATCAAGCATTCATAAAACACCAATATCCCAGTGCAAACCTCAAACGTTTGTATCTACGCTCATTTTGTGCGACTATTGTATGGTAGAAGTAATTTATTTTTTGCTGGTAGAGCGACCAATCTAATACGCAATTGCCGTTTTCAGTAGATTGTTGTCTGCTCTCCATAAATAGATGTGGTGCAATTTTAACGAACCGTTAACAGAGAAACAGCAATTCCTTAAATTGTTTAGGAAAGATCTCAAGTTCAGTGGTTCATAGCTCTATCACAGTAAATATGACATAAAATATATTGTTTTGAACTGACACTGGAAATTGTAATTAATATTGACATAAATTTGAATTTAAATTACAATGATAAATTACTTGTTATTAAATGAATGATAGGTAAAAAGAGAATACTGTAATATGTCTGTTAAGTTTTAATTATGTTAGAATTTTTTGGATGCTATTTATATAGCTAAATAGGTTTAAGATTCTTAGCTTTTAACATATGCTTTATATGCAAACAATTTTGTTAACCCTATCGAATGCAAATAAACAGTATTCTATTCTGAGATTGTGAATATTTAGACGTCTTAATTGTTTTTAGTAAAGGGTAAAGCTGTTGTATTAATGTGTCGTAGCAAGTTGCAACGTCTTCTTAAACCGAATATCCGGACAGTTAAATAAAGGCAGGACATCCTATACTTTTTTTAG